GACCTTTAGCATTATCATCATTAACCATTGTACTCCTTATTTTTAGTCAGCACTGTTGGTGGTCCAGTACTTAAAGCTTGTTCTACAGTTTTTTGTTCTGTATGTAGCATCAGATAAGAGTTTCAGCTAAAAGCCTAAAATGCAGATGTTTACATTCTCCTCTTCAAATTTGGGTCATCGTCAGGATAGCAGGAAGGGCCTCTTACAAGGAATGACATCTACACTGAACACATATTTTAGTTTCCAGGCTTTTAGTATTTAAGCAGTGTGTTTTGGCCATAGTTCAGACAGCTGTAGGGTGGACTGTAGACACAGATGACTGTATAACACATTAAAGTATTGATTGCTATAAACAAATAATGTGTGATTTCTTAAAACTGTGTTCCCATAAATCCTAGCACCATTACTTTTTGCTACTTGTTGTTAAAAGGCAAAACCTGTAAACACAACACTGACATATTATTACCCTATAAAGTCGAGATGTCTAACAAACAGCTCAGCAGTCACAGAGCAATATTAACATTCATCTGGAGTCGTGTTTATGGCCACCTGATGAATATAAGCTCAATATTCACTCTTCTTTCAGTTCTGTTTTGGTCTCCATAATCCTGAGGGAAATATCTAGCTCTTTAGCGACTAAATGCTACTGTGTTTACCAGCTAGTCGCTAACTTAGTCTGTCTGCTGTTTTATGCTGAACAGGTAGTGTACAGTGGGCTTATCTGAGCGTTCTTGATCAAAATAACTTCCTGTTGCAGCTGGAAACGAGTATGTACCGTACAAAGCAATGAGCTAAAATGTTCAGCTCTATGGAGAAGGGAAATGTGGGAAGGGAAGGGAAGAGCAGAGTTCTGTGACGATATTTGTTTTGTCACTATGAGCGATAACTTTTACAATATACATAGTCATTTGTTTCTTTCTTAATATGAAAATATTAGTTAATGCAGCTTTAAATTTCAGTTATGACCTTGAAATGATTCATTAAAAGTCTAAGACGGTGTTAAGATATTCTTGAAATACATTAAAATCATAAATATAGCATTTGTTTTTTGTCCAATTGAAGTTGTTCTAATGCTAATAATAATAAATGATGTAACGTTTTTGTTATATGCCATAAAACAACGTAGTAAATCTCACAGCCAATCCTTACCCACATCAGTGTAGCTAGTGACTATCACTGCTCTCATGCCTAATGCCTCAAGGTTTGTTGTAACAATGAGACATTCATAATAAAATGTGTCGCATACTGCATTTAACAGTAATCTTAGTGTAAGGTAAAAACGCCTATGTTACAGTTGGATGTGATAGCACTTTGGCTGAAAACGCAGAACTTTCCTGAAGCAAATATGCACCTACCACCAGCCTTAAATATATGTACTCTAGTGTGTAGTTTGGTAGAGCTACAACATCATGTTTATTCAAAGTATTTTACCGTCAACAGATATGTGTAATCAGTCTTGATAAACGTAGTTCTAATGAAACTGAGGATGTATGAGCATTATATGCTATGTGTTGAGCTTTTCCTCTGCTCTGAAGCTGAGAGAAGCAGAAATCCTCATTTTATCGTGTCTAAGCTTCATAGCTGGATAATAACATTTTCCTCCTTCTCAGTTTCTCTGTTAACGGCAGCATCAGGCTGAGCAGTCAAGAAGTCAGCAGGCCTGGACACAGACTCTCAAAGACAGGATAATCTGACTCTTTAGAGAAAAATGGAAACTGTACTGACTACATCATTTAAGCCTAACATCATTTAAAATAGTTCTGCCTGATTTTCATTTTTGCTTCCTGAGTTGCGGAACACATAATTCTGCCATAACCCTAATAGCTAGGGACCACAAAACTGGCAAGAGGAAAGATGTCTTTCACAGCGTAAATACATATTACAAAGCATTTCTATTTCTAGACAGAGTCTGACACAGCGTTTTCTCCCACTAGGCTGCCTGGTTGTTAAATAAATATCTGTATCTGTTTATTTCAGACATGTTTTGTTAGCCTCAGAGTGGCCAGAGATGGGAATAGAGTGGTCCTGTGAACATTTTCAGGTTTTGTTTTGCCATTTAATTCTAATTCTGGATAAATGGGGAGTCAGGCAAGTCAGATGATATTTCATAACTCTTCATCATGTGCCTTGTGAAAAAGCCTATATTTAAACAGTCAGCTCCCTGTGTAGGAGTCAGCAGTTCAGCTCACACCAGTCCTGTACATGAAGCAGGCATCAGTAGATCAAAATGCCAATAATGCATTTCATACATCTGTAATCTCTCAGCTTCCAACAGCCACAAGCCAGAAACGTTTCAGAAGAACAAGAACAAGATATTGTTTAGTTGTTGTCTGAAGCTCCAGACGACAAATACAGTTCCTATAAAAAGTATATACACTACCCCTTGGAAGTTTTCACCTCTAAAGGTTTTACAACCTGGGATCAATACATTTTTAAGATGTAATGTGATTAAATGTGGCTTTTTAACTAGCTTAAGTGAAAACAGATCCCTATAAAGTGATCTAAAAGAATTACAATGTATCATTTTTCACCCCCTTTAAACCCCAAAATCATTGGTGGTACAGCCTATAGGTTTTAAAAGGCACACCATTAGTTACATGGAGATCCAGGCTAACATGATGTTAACCAGCTAAAATGATCCTGTTGATTCTGATCCAGCCGATTTGGGTCTTTAAACACAGAGAATTATACTGAGTTTAGTAATCAGTATTATTGTAGTAATTTAGCTATGATTATTGAAACTAACTCAGTTAATTAACATAGTTCATTGTTTTAACCCAATTGTAAACAAATTATGCAATATGTCACAAATGTTAGTGTTTAAGAGAGAAATCACAATCCAGCCAACTGTGAATAAGCATACACTTTTGCAGGTTTTGGGTAAACGACTTGTTGCTTCGTCAAAAGTTTAGATTGACTAGAACTGATGTTTTAAATCAAGCTAACTTTGTTTTACCTAATTTTTTTTAACCTAATTTTTGTTTTTCTGTGCTTTTATCCAGGTGAACCTGTGTTCTCCAGCCAACAATGAAACCTACCAAGAACGGCTGCTCCGCCTAGAGGGAGACAAGGAGTCTCTGGTGCTACAGGTCAGAACTGTGTGTGTGTGTGTGTGTGTTTTTTTTTTTACAACTGACAAAGAGACTGCACAGTCAACCAGTTAGTTACACCAATTTGTTCTAAGACTGTTCATTCATTCAGTTGCTGTAAAGTGACTTTTTAAAAACAAATCATAAGTGGCTGTGGCTCAGGTCATCTAATCATCAGAGGGTTGCTGATTCAATTCAGGGTCCCCCCTGTCAAGTTGAAGTGTCCTCGGGCAAGATATTGAACCCCACATTGCTCCTGATGGCTGTGCCGTCAGTGTGTGAATGGGTGTTTGAATGGGTGGTATAAGTGTTGTAAAGCACTTTGAGTGGTCCAGGTGGCTACATTCACACTGCAAATCACCCTAATCACATTCTCTATTTATTTGCTCTCATGAATCTGATCTTTTCAATTCTGATTTGGGCCACTTTCATGTGGTACAAATCAGATACAGGTCTCATTGCTTGCAGTGTGAGCAGTCATATCAGAATTCATGTGACTTTTTACGTCATTCTAGATTGACATTGACTTCAGGACTGGGACCTCTTAAACTGGAATCTGATAAAGGTGTGAACAGATCGGAGCAATAAATCAGAATAGAGTGCCAAGGCTTGCACTGTGAAGGAAGCCTAGTCTAAAAACGAGAACCATGAAATCGTAAAAATCCCTGATTCAATTCCAGTGAGGAACATTTGTTGCACGTCATCCCCCTTTCTCTCCTCCCTCATTTCACATTTCAGTCTCTATTGGTATCTATCAAAATAAAGGCAAAAACAAAAAAAACAAAAAACACAACTTTCTGAATCTGCATTACATTCAGTGGGATCATAATTGTAATTCTTGTTCTGTTGTGTTTATTAATTGTTTGAATCCCTACTATGAGTAAATGAGCCAGGGATTTGTCTGGAGGGTTTGGTGCCACACTGGAAAAACAGCTTAGTTTCTGGTCCGTAATCCTAGTGCTTTAGATATTTCATGTTATTATATAACAAAACATGCCCGAACACTTTCAAACCGTCTGAGAGCGTGTTTACTGGCGACTTTTACAGTAACAATCAACATCAGCGCTACAGTGGTAAAGCAGAAGATTATATCTCTGTGCTGTATGATTTCAACAGGCTCTCTATGCTCTTAGATCACTTTAATAGCTGGTTCATACAGCTGTGATCTTAACAATCTGCTGTCACATTCTTCCCGCTAAATCACAGTTCTCAAATCCTCAGGCTCTCTTCACCTGTGTCTGTGTGTGTGTGTTTGTTTCGTACTCTGGGTAAGGTTATGTGAGTGGATCTTTTATGAAAGTTGAGTTAAAGTGCACCGCCCGTCTGGACGACTCTGGTTCATAAAGTTGTCATAAAGTCCGTATCTCATCTCTCACCACCACTCTCACACACACACGCACACGCCTACTTGTTACACATTCCTCATCTGAGACCCGCTCTGATTGGTTCATATACAAGGTGACTGGGGCTTATTTTTCCTGACAGGAGATTTAACTGACTGTTGACAGGTTGCCCGCTTCCAGGTTGTCCAGTGTGTTAGCATATACACACTCTGTGTTTAGTAGAGAACTTTCACCTGCATTTGTGTGTGTGTGTAGCTCAGCAGTGGAGCACAGTAGAGGTAAGAGTCTATACAGTCATATCAGAGCCTTGTCTTTTAATTGCTATGTGTTACTACACCCTTAAATAATGTTTTATAGGAGATAGATACATTACATTTGTCGGGTACGAGTCAAATAGGTGTTTTAGGTGCTAAACACACACATGATCTTAGGCTCATTCACATACTTCTTTCATTCATTTAGTCAGTTGATTATTGTTCACCTAGTCATTGTTAGGAAGCACAGTCGACCAGATCGTTCACTCGTCTGGTCACACGTCCGGGTTTTCTTTGTGATCTGGATTTTGATTCATGTTGAGCCAGAAACTTTGTGGGAGATTCTTTATTGCCAGAGCGCTGTGAGACAGGACGTGGCTGCAGGGGTAAAAATCAGGGAAGCTGAAGTGACAGAGAATCAGTTGCTGTCAGAGGGATTTGGCATAGTTTAGGAGAAGAGGAGAATTGTAGTGTGTGTGTGTGTGTGTGTGTGTGTGATGTTTGGCAGGAGGTGAGCATGTTGTCAGGGAGATTATTGTGAATGTGCAATGCATTCCTGAGTGACAGGCTGCTGAGTAAATGTGTGTTGTTTTGGAGTTGAGGAATGCCAGGATGAATGTGTGTTTGTGTGTGGAGTGAAGAAAGACACAGAGACATGGTCATGTGGGTATAAAGATAAATATTTTGTTTTGACTGTATCTGTATTAAAATAATAAGTAAAGTTTCCATGTCTCTGTGCTTTTGTGTTTGAAGGTTTCCATCAACAACTACATCACTTTTTCTGCATCTGAACAACTCTGTCTCAGAATGTGCACTAATATAAAATGAATGTGTCACCCATTAGGTGAGCGTTCTGACTGACCAGGTGGAGGCCCAGGGAGAGAAGATCAGAGACCTAGAAAGTTCTCTGGAGGAACACCGGCAGAAACTGGCCTCCACAGAGGAGATGCTGCAACAGGTAACACACGCACACACACACACACACACACACACACACAAGACACACACACAGAAACACACACACACAGACACACACACAGAAGCTGTAAACTGTGTTGACTTGAACAAAAGCATTTTAACATATTTTGAAACCTGCATCCATGTTAGTATAGTCCTCCTCTTCCCTGTCTTTTCTGGTACATTTCTGATTTTTTTTGCTGTGTACTGCGACCCGCCCATCAGTGGAATAGTGTGAAACTACTGGCAGGGACAGCAACAACAAAAAGCTTGTTAAAGGACTTAAAACAATTGCTCCATAGCACCACAAGTGGCCAAAGACTCCAAAGTTAAATAAAGTTAACTCATTTACAGGTGAAGTGCAAACAGAAAAGTTTACTGTTGAATTAAAGAAATAGCATAATATTTGGGTGACACACAGGAGGTTCCATTAGGTTTTTATTATTCTTGTACATTCTGTGAAGCCACAATATGTCTTATAATTGGACATGGAGTCCCCAGTTGATTTTGCCCATTGACCATTTTAATAAAGTTTAAACAGTGCTTGCTTTGTGCAATCCTATTATAAACGGACAGTAAAGATTAAAAAAAGACAAATATGAAGCCGTAGATGGCCAGAAGATGCAGACAACATCGTCTGTCTGCTGTGGAGTAAAGTTCAGTTTTATATCACAGTATAGTTTCAGTCATATGACTGCTCCAATAATGTTACTCACTACTACTTCCAATTCCAACTGATTGTCCAATAGTCAAATCATTGATCACTGAGGCAATCACTAAAGTGTTGTGACTCTCAGACTGCACGTCAAACAGTAAGTGATCAAGCAGAAATTCGGCCCAGTTCTAAAGTCAGTCAGACTAAAATCAGGTTTAATCTGCACACTGTGTGCCCATCTTTAGAAAAGATCAGTGTGTTGTCATGCTCCTTCACATTCAGTTTAATTCAATTTGATCACTAAACTACATTAATTTGCACATATTAGAGAAATTACATGTTCTCAAATGTTCCAAAGTTATACTGTAACTGAAAATGAAATTGCAACAACTGAATAACAGGGAATTATTATTAAGATGACCTTTTGCTCTTAATTGAAATTGTAATGTAAGTGTCAAGCCACTTACATTACATCTCAAGTAATGGCATAAGCATAATCATTTGTCTGCCAGCTGTCAAACAGGATGTCCACATAGAGCAGCGATGGAATACTAGTAGAAGTAAGGTGGTACTGTAAGTGAATAAATAAAGGAGTGGCGCAGTGTTTTATTCAGAGCATTCCAGCTTGACTTTATACCGTTGACCTTCTCTGACTCATCATCCGTACAGTTACGTGGTGGGTTCAACACAAGCAACAAGATTTTACAGGTCAAAGTTCAACATTACAACGTTTGTTTAGTCATCACTAGATTAGACAGTTTACTCTTAAAACAAACAGTTTGAAGGTGACCTTTTGGATAAAGAATTGTTCAATGTTGTTTCAGACAGTTTGAAGCACTGCTATTAGCTTTGCATTACAGTATAGTGAGGTCTAAAATGTTTTGTTTTTGGGTCAGTAAGTTGTTTTTGGCCCTAAAGTAAAATGGTCCACTTGATATAATAGAGGACAGAGATTTGCTTCAATCAGAGGAAAGAAATAAAGCATTCCTTATTAGGATAAAGCAGCTTGATATATGATATACAAACAGGAATGAGCAAGAATAACATTCAGAGACTTTCAAAAGACATTTTAACAGGGCAATGTGGTCAACTCAAGCATGTCCGAAAGGCTTTGACTAAGAATGAGTCTGCTTTCTCACCTGCCTGACTAATTACCAACAACTGATGAAAGTGTAAGTAATGTCATAACACATAACATAGGAATTTTTGAAAATTCAGAAATTGATAAGATGGGATAATGGTGGGATTATGAGTTGCTACAGTTTGCTGCTGTTGGATAAAAACCTTTTATCTGCAGAATCAGCTATTAATGAAATGTTTTTTTTATAAAATGCTAAACTAAGATGGTGAAAGGATCATACCTGCTAAACATTAGCATGCTAACAATATTATTGTGAGCACGTTAGTATGCTAACGGTAGCCTTCAGCTCAAAGGTAGTTTGGATCGTCTATCTTTTTTTATGGGTAGCAAGTCAACACCACCCTGGAGCTGTGGGTCAACCTTACTGTAGACTACAGGTTACACTTTTTTTTAGACCTTTTTTACTGCTAATTAAGGTTCTGTTCCATTTAGTGTAGCAGAGTCTTTTCAGTGAGCCAACATGCACAACAGCAGCACCCTGACTCTGTTTGACCTGAATGGAACTGAAACTTAATTAGTTTTTATTGGTAACGCTTGTGTTTACCCTACTATTTCATGTCAAAATGGCTGTTGTGAAAAAGGTCTACGGCTTGTCTAATGTCTTCAAGTTGTTCCAGTTGTGTTACTTGACGTCATCAATGAGGCAAACTCATGAGATCTGCCAGGCTGGATACAACAAGACCACAGCTCTGTGTATCACATAATCAACCCTCTGTTTGGACTCCTCAGCAGGCTCTTTGTTCTCTTTGTTGTCAAGACCGAGAATAAAAAAGCCATGGCCCCAAAATAAATACCCCACGAGGTGGGGTTCGAGCTGTGACGTTTTATCATCTTCGTCCAGCTTGCATTTACAATCCACTAATTTATGCTGTCTGCACCGAATAAGAACAATTATATAAACAAAAAGAACCTTACTGCTGTCAGTTGTAGTTAAAAAACAGAATTTGGAAGCATGTTGCTTCATAGCTAACTCTGTCAAAACTTCTAGCTCTTCACCTGCCGCTGCACCTGATGTTCTCTACAGTCCTTTACGACTACTGCTTGTAGGTCTGGAGGTTTTATTGGATTTAGCTGCTCTGATCTGCAGCTGTTGTCCCAGTTTGTGGCTCTGTGTTAGTGTAGTTGTGTGTTTGTGTGCAACACCAGCCCATTTCACAGCTAATGGCTGCTGGTCACATAGCTGGTGTGATATGAGATGTTTGCTGAGAGAGATGGAGGTAGAGTGTGTGGAGAAAGATAACAGTTGCCTAGCTTCTGGGTTTGTGTGTCTGTTGTGTTGTATTGTGTTGACTTTGTTTTGAGTGCTTATCATCTCCCAGATCTGTTCCTCTCAAATCTACTCAATATATAATTTAAGAATACGTTTGAAGGATTTAAAAGGTGACAACATGTCTGCAGCAGGACGTCCTCTATCTGTGTCACTGTCTTTAGTGTGTGTGTGTTTGAGTGAGAGAGAAAGACGCTATGTACATTATATGTCAGTGCCTGCTACTTGCTGTGGGAACCACAACTAATCTAATAAGAAATAGTTCTTAGTCAGCACACACACACACACAACACACACACACGCAGTACAGTGTTCTCATGCTAGAAGGAGTCCACCCACAGCATGTAGTATGCTGAGGGGGTGACTACATGTCCTACTGTGCCTTCTATTTAGATGCAGAAATTACTGTATTGAGACATTTCTGTGGACATGGTTACACACACACACACACACACACACACACCACACACGAAGCTTCCGTTAAGGGTCATTAGCGTTTTTGATGTATTCATAATAAATTAATCGACTGCATCAATCACTAAAATTCATTAAACATAATTCTCATTAGCTAATTTAAATGTTGTCACCCCCATGTTTCTACAGTAGCCCAGAAGGGACAAACACTGGGTCTAGATGGGGCCTTTTTCACAACCACTGTAGTTTCTCCTTCATGCTTGGACGAGGGAGGGTGAGGCGTGGGATCTATGGCCCTTAAAGCCAGTTGTAAATGAGGTATGGATGTCAGCGTACAATACTTACCATGGAGATCATATTTTCTAAAACTGGATGTCTTTCAAATTGTAGATATTTCATTTTGAAATGACATTCTTCAGATAATAGTCCAGATCTGAGATTTGCCATTAACACAGTTCAGTTTTGGAGATGAGTGCAGCCTCTTATAAGAGATCTATACATGCTGTAAGAAGGACGATAATTTGTCACATGCTGCTCCTCATAATTAAAGGAAAGCAAATGCAGGCAGCTGAGCAGGTGGGCTTTGCCACAGAGTTCTGGATAAATACTTCTAAAGAGACTGCGGCTGTATCCTGCTGTAAGTGACACGTGCCTGTTGATTGCAAACTGACAGTCAGCCTGCCATAACTAAGCAGATTGTCTGTGTGTTTGGTGTGTGCTGTATGTGTGTGGTCTGAGCTGGGTTGATTATGGGGTTTTATAACTGTCTGTCTGTGGTGTGGGTGTTTCTGTGTCAACACATGTGGTACCATGTGATCTTTCTATTTGGACAGATAATCCCTCTGTGGTCAAAAAAGTTTTGTCTTATGTCCTGTAAAGTGGCATCCCACATCCTTAAGAGGAAAAAGAAAAGTATATACGTTTGAAGACCTAAGGAATAGTTACGTGATAGATTGATAAGATATGTATCACCACACTGAAAATATCAGCTTTGGATGTATGCCATTGAGTTTTTTCACAAACATTGCTGGTGCCCAGAAGCATGTATCTTAATGACTTTGTGACCCTCTGACTTTTTGTTAAGAACGTCCAGCAATCCACCTTTTATTATTATCACCATATGTCCATTGTAAAATGTTCTTAAAGTCCCCCTCCACTCAGAAACATGCTGTTCCTCTTGTTCCTACAGTTGCTTTTAAATAGTCTGTGCAGAGTTTACTCTAGAAGGATGTTTTACATTCATCTGCTGAAAGTGGAAAGGTTTTCTCTGTGCTCATTGAACATTGATCTTAAGGGCCGGCCTACAAGCTATGATTGTATGACATCACAAATAGTTAGGGAAGTCAGTCCTGGTCCAGTATGCAACTTGTACAGTGTGATGTAGAAACCTGAAGCCACCAGTGCACATCCACTGAGAATGGACTTTACAGGAGACATCTTGTGTTGTGTTTGCAACTTTTTAATCAGGTAGAAAAAGTAAATTACTTTCGAAGGATTTTACTTATTTGACTTTTTTTTTTGGCAGAAATTATCAGATACACATTACTATTCCAAGCAGACTATTTGTACATGTTGTAATACATGTCTGGAAATATACATACATTATTTTGGTGGAACACCAACACATAAGAAGTCAGTCTGTGGCTATAACAAGCAAAAGAAGAAGGAGGGAAATCTGAAATCTGATTTTGGTTCTACTTTGTCCTCATAATCATCTCAGAAATACACAATGGTAGTGTAAGCTGTGTAAAGTTACATCCTTCTCAATAAGTCAGTAAATTGGTTATTGACTCATACTCATGACTCATTCCCCATTTTCTGGGACCTGGTTTATCAAACTAGTGGGCAAACTGTTTGCAGGCTCATTTCCTTTTACATTTTCCTCTGAAATGTTTAATCTCAGCAAGAATTGTATAAGGGGTGGATGTCAGAGGCTTAAACAACCATCCAAGGCAACTGAAAGTTTGAGTTTATGGAAGAGGAAGTGGGATTAGAAGTAGTTTAGATGAGGAAACGAAAGCAACAGACAACTGAGAGTTGGCCAAGAGATGTGTTTTCTGTGTGAGTCAGAGAAAAAAAACACACACTGCATACCCTCTGACTCTGTCTCTCTCTCTTTTAGACACACTTTCCTTTTCTCCGTCCCATACCAAAGAAGCAGAGATATATTAATAGAGTCCCTAGCTTGCATGTGTGTGTGTGTATGTGTATATTTAGCTTTGTGGGGTCTGGGCCCCCAGCCTAGCCTGCTCTGTTAGTGTGGGAAGAACACTGTACTGAGAGGAGTAGCATGCCAACTTGTTGCTGCGTTGATATCCAGTATCTGTATGTGTTTGACGTTTACGGTAGGTGTGGTTTGTAAAAGCGGTTAATGTGTCATTTTCCACGCATCTAACTCACAGTGTCTCTGTCTGTTTTTTTTTCCCAGGAGCTAATGAGCAGGACCTCTCTGGAGACTCAGAAGCTGGATCTGATGGACGAGGTGTCGTACCTCAAACTGAAGCTGGTCAGCATGGAGGAGACGCAGACCAACACACACCCACAAGATCCTGCGGACACAGAGCAGAACAAAGCTGAGGTATGGAAAGTCACAGAAAGGATTAACAACTTAAAGGCTGCTTGTACTACAGGCAGAGATCCCTGCTGCGTTTGCCTGAATGAAATGTTTCCACCCATACATGCATATATACTGTACCATTGATGCAAACTCCAATACAACCGAAAATGCATTTTAAAAAAGTTTCAAAACTTTATTATGCTTTTTTTAAAATACTGGGGTCTCATAACACACATAAGTTTGATGCTGTGTAGGGCTCCGCAATATATGACCATATCTAACATGAGATGATCATCCATTTTTATGTACTCTTTATAATAAGCTGTTTAATAACGCTGTCACTCTAATATCTCTGGCTGTATTAGGCAATGGAGGAGTGCTTTATTGCCGTATTAGAATTATAAGATTTTTACATTAACTACCTTGATTTATCAGGTATTTAAGTCTGTTTGAAAAAAAAAACAGACATTCTAATCGGCTATTTTATCTATAAACTGTTTCTCAATGAAGAATATGGAAACTATATCAAATATATCATACTGTATAACACGACTGTGATACCATGGTATTATGCTGTGAGAGAAGACGTTAGTGGCGTGGCTCTAGGGATGCAATGCCAGTCTGTTGGTTGGTCCACGTGATTTAGCGATCCCTTGCTGTAACTTCTTATCCGGCGTCATCGTCAGATTGAAATTTTACTGTGTCTAGTACTACCGCGTTATGATCAAACATCTGGAAAACTAATGACCTTCCCATTAGCCAGCTGCACTTTAGTGCTAATTAGCATGTATACACACTAAACTAAGATGGTGAATATAGTGAACATTTTACCAGCTAAACATCAGCATTGTCACTGTGAGCATGTTAGCATGCCGACATTTGCATTTAGCTCACAGCACCACTCACAAAGCTGCTATAGTAGATACTTAAGTAGTCCTGTTTTCATATAGTTTACCCCTAATGCTACATTGTGTAAGTGTATGAATGTTATGTCTAACGTGGTAAAGAATCAAATGTAAAATAGTCAAACATGCATTAGTCTTAGTTTCTGTGTTGCACAGTGGGTAAAATAATGGCACTAACACTGTTAGGTCTAATGGTTTAGTCTCCACTGAGAGCCCAAATGGCGCCTTGGAGGGAGTAACCCCCCCACAAAAAGCAACATTGAAAAGATGATGCAGATGTTTTTCCATTGTTGTTGAAACAAGGTATAACAAGAGAAGCCTTATTTCATTCCAAACGTAAAGTGACACACAGGCTGAAAAAGACTAAGACTTCTGTTGTCTTCAGTGTCTGGGAGCTGAAGGGAAACAATCACATTCCATCAGGGATTATTTAGGGACATATGTGGGAGCTCTTGTTTCTCTTAGACCTGCTTTATAAGGATGTATGTCAGTTGTTAGTCTGTTTTCAATGTTTTCACTGTCTCCGAGCCAAAGGGAGAAGTAACAACACTGTGGTCACAGTAATCCACCACAAGTCCAACCAAAATAAATGGTTTCCCAGACACAGAACTGGCCCCGTTATGCTATCAGCAAGATCTACTTTTAACTTTCTCTACCTTTTTTTTTAAAAACTTTTTTAAAAAAGTCTTACTATGGTGCTGTCATGGTGTTTTTTAGCTGTGCTACTCAGAGGACACACAATGAAACAGTGTTCCCTTTTCTCTGGATTTTGTTTACGTGTCGCTATTTTACTTGTATGCTTCAAGTCATTGCTCAAGCTGTGCATCACCTCCTGCGTGGCAGAGGATATTCCTCCCAGGAAGACACTACAAGCCACTGCCTGTCTAATTTTAAATCTTTTGTCAGTGTGATGCAGACATATGCATACCATATGTTTACTTGGAAAGTTTAGCAACTTCTATATGCCTTGATGTATTGGAATACATAGAACAAATTCCCCTTAACTCTTGTGTGAACTATTTGTGTGAACTCACCTGTCGGCTGGTGACAGTTGATCCCACTAAACAGGTCTGTGATTAGTGGAATGTGTGTTTGATCTCAACTGGGTCTGTGCACAGATCTGTTATTAGCCTCGATGTTTCATCTGGTCATTGTAGAGGTAACTATTAATTCACACAGGGCATGGACACCAACAAAAATGAAGTACACGTAAATCATCAATATTCTGAAGGAAAACTAGAAAAAGTAGAACAAGAAAGCAAGACTGTATATAGTAGAGTATATAAAGGTTATAGTACCTGGTACTTTTTAACTAAACAAGAGTCCCATTATTTTAAGGGAATATGATTAAAGTGCTAAATATGCATTAATATCCATAGCAATTTTCCTTAAAATGTATTTGTTAGTTGTAAGCGAGTACTCCAGTGATTTAGCATTGCAATCCTATTAGATTAACATTGTTAGATTCACAATAGACAGGTTCAAAATGAATACGTTCTCTCTTTCTTGTCAAAACCTTTTTCACATATGCAGTAGTCCTTGTAAACAGACTTTGATATGTAACATCAGTGGAGCTCCCCTTAAACTTATTTGGACCAGTGTTGAATAGACTCCCCCAGCCAGGAACAAAAAGGAAGATTCAAGACAATAAAAACAAAATAGCTGAAACTTATTTTCCCTGTTTAAACAAGTTTAAACAATTTGTTTCTTTGGGCCACAGATAACATCACAAAAGAAACGGTTTCACTAGAAACTCCAGTGTTGACTCCCATTTCAAAAACCGCCGTCGGACGTTGCTACAGTTGGTGTCTTTCAGGTTTGGTTTTCCCACTAAAGTAATCAACAAGTCCTACACGTTGGGCTTTCCCACAGCTTTATGCCAGCACTACGCGAAAACCATCCAATAACATCCAAAGTCCAATCAGTTGATGAAAGGTTGTCCCAACACCATATTGCAGCCAGATCTGTCACCCAGTTAATAAACAGACAAATAGTGAAAGCATGCCCCAACATCCAGCTTTACTGGCTGAGGTTATAATGAAATGTGTCTGGATGAGATTCAAGCTTCAGTGCTGAGACTCTGAAACAAGCCAGAACACATTCAAACGGTCTCTCCAGAAGCTTTCAACACACCCTGCCGAAGGCCTGCTAGACAGACAGCTGACACCAAACTGTAAACTCCACGCTAAAGAAAACATCCGTCTAACAGTGTCATGCAGACATTTCTTATGTGCCTTAAAATAGAACACTGTCTTTACTTCAAAGGTCCTGTAAAGATATTTTCTCATTCAGCTTCTTACTCTGAGCAGTGAGTATTTTTTGTGTTTCTTATTTGGAAAAAGTGATGTCACAATTTAGCAACAGTGTGATGACAGGGTTTTTTTGTTCATGTTGCTGTCATTCCAACCTGATCAAACCATACCCACACAGTCAGGATTAAGCACTATCTTAGTTTTAAGTGTTAAACCTCTAATGAATACACTTTAAGGAGGTTTTTTTCTTCCAAAACTAACATTGACTATTGCTTATTTAGTCATAAATATTTAATTTGAAGAAAAACTTTTGAGTTTGTCAGAAGTTGTCAGGGGCTTTAAGAAAATAGTAAAACTATCAAAACAAGTGAAGTTAATAAGCTCAGCTACAGATAGTGAGCCTCAGAACTACATGGCCTGTGAAGATGAAAATTTTTTTCAGTGTACTACACCAGGCCACCCTCAACACTCTGTCCACTAATAAAAAGGTTTGCTCAGCGGTTATTTTTTGGGCTCAGATTCCCAAAACTACATTGTATCCACTAGAAGCACAGTAGCATTTCGGTTTTACTACCTGTTATGATACTGTCATTTGAAAATTAATTTTAGAAAATACTTACTTATAATGAAAGGCTTTGTGCTGTACTTTCCTGTCAGCTTCACTGTTCAGATTAGCAGCACAGTTCCTGCTTTAGTGAGGTTAAAAACAGTTGCATTAAAGGACCAGTGTGTAGATTGCAACTAACTGAACACAACGTCTGTATTTAAAGCCCTGGGAATAAGAGCGGGCTGTAAGGTGTGGAGAAGAAACTATAGAGGCCAGTGTTTGGTTTGTCTGTTCTAGGCTACTGTAGAAACAGGGCTGTCCAACATGGCGGACTCCATTGAAGATAAAGATAGAAACGGCTCATTATAAGGTAACATAACACAACTAAATGGCAAACACTGGAGAGAGACTCTGTGTTTGTCACCAATCACATACACACAAATACACACTTAATAATGCTGTGCACAAGCATGTTTAATGCATGCACACACATATGCACGCGCCACCCAAGTCTAGTGGAGGATTTTTTGCCTGTCTTCTCTATTTTCTTTGTGTGGACTTTGTTCATTGTGGCACCCGGCTTCTCCCCACAAGATATTAAGTTGCTCTTGTGGTTTGGCTCGGTGTGTGTGTGTGCGAGTGTGTGTAAAGCTATCACAAGGCATCCAGCACCCAGGGCCGTGCTTTGATTGAATAAACACGATACAGCGTTTTTGACACGCAGAGGCCCATGTTGTGCACACACATGGATGGAGTGTGATAAGCATCAGCGGAAGTAGACAGAGAGGGAGAGGCGGAGAGGAGAGGGCTCGACAAGAGAGAGGACTGAGGGCGGAGAGTAAAGGAAGAGAGGGACAAGATGAGAGACAGTGACAGACAGATGCAAAGATAAGAAATGACAGGATGTACTGTTGGAATATTGTTTTCTGTCCTCACACACAAAGTGAACATGCAGGACATTCACACTACACTGCAGGACATACTGTGAGCTGACTCTTCTGGTAACATTGTCTCCTTCTGCAAAGCTCACATGAAAACTAGCTTATGAACTTAACAAAAAGGAAAGTTCTCCTAGCATTTGAAAATAAACTGGCAATGAGTAAGAATTTCAGAGACATACTGTATGTGATGCAAACAAACACTGTTTTGACACTGTGGCTTTAAGAGATCCTTGATGAGATGAACTTATTGCTGTGGTTTTGGCTATTTAGTTTGGTTTATTTTGGCTACAGTTCTATAGACTGTAAAAACTGTGTACCTACCAAAGTAATTACTGAGATGTAGGAACATGAGCTTGCTTAGACAAAGTCAGACAGAGCAAGAAACAAGCAGTCAGACAATCAGAGGTTGTAAACGGGTCAACAGGTTTGTCAGAGTATCAAAACCACTTTGCATGTGGGTACAACTAAAGGTGAAATGCCATCAGTGATTGTACAGGAAAACTGTGCATGCAAAATGATGTTAAGTTCAGTAAGTCAGTCTAGATAAAAACTTAATTACCTTTTGCCCTCTCTACCAAATTAACAAATATGATTGTCGGCTGTTAGCTTGGTGAGCACAATATTATTACCAACATTATGCTGATGATGGACAAAATTAGGAAAACAATGGCCAAGTTGTCATAAACTGAAAACTGAAAACTACAGCCATGCTAGCAGCTTTGCGAGGACCATATGTACAAAATTTCATGGTAATCCGTCCAATGGTTTTTGACATATTTCAGTCTGCATTATAATTGCCGACGAACTGATAAACCAACCAACCGACCAACATTGCCATCCCTGAAGCCATGCTGCTATAGCTAAAAACAAGACATTGTGCAAATCCAAAAAACACACACTGTCTTTCACTCTTGAGACTAAAGTATTCTTCATAAACAAACAGTTTATTACCAAGTAGCCACTCAGATCTAGTTTGGCTTTGCTGTAAAAAACCATATTCCTTCTGCCAGGTATTTTTCTTATAGAGAGAAATGTTGCCCGTGCACACTTCTTTCATGGTCAGACAGATAATTAAATAGTGGCTCAAGGGCACTTCAGTAATAGGAAAGAAAGAGCTACACTCATTCATTTCCTTTAGTCTGATTCTCCGTCTGGTTCAGGGATCACAAGATTGCTTCTCTGAGCTTGAGGCTCCACCACCTAAATCTCAACATCAGTCCCGCCCTGCGGTGTCTAACAGAGCTGTTTTAACATTGACAAGTTGATGCTTAGTTGGTATAGTAACAAGATACTGTGTCTGATCTTATACACACCCAAATCCAACATATCCGATGTACAGCGGTGGTGTTTTACTTTTGTCACGTTAAAATGGCAACTGACACTGGTCTACAATTTTGCCAATTGCAAAGCGAGGGTGTGTGTGTGTGTGGTTAGTAACAGCTGCGAGGCTCCGGTCGGCAGGCAGCAGGAATGGCAGGCATCCATTCTGAACATTCCTGAGGACCAAACACTTTCACCTCAGGAAAACCACTCCAACACTACACAGACTCACTGCTGTGGAGGAGCTCTTTGAATTGCTAAAACAACATCTTTTCTGGAACAAGGTCAAGGTTGAAATCGATGATAATGCGATGAGAAATAATTGGCTGTGGAAAGGTTTCACAAGCTCAAGAGTTGTGACATTCTCTGGCCAAGACATGAGTAAAACCCTTCATTTATCTAAATGCTATAAAAAGGTTGTGTGTGTTCTTCTGTTTACATAAACTTCTTTTCCTGTCTTGCTCTGTTGGTCTAAATTCTGGGTCATGGTCCTGTTTCAGGGTGGGGCTATTACATGGAGGTTTAATTAAGAGCCTGTAATGGTCCACTGAAACACAGATCACATCAGTGAGTGTAGTTTGGGAGATAATCTTTGCTGCACTGCCTGGCGGTGATATAAAGGAAGAGCTGTGGGATGGGAGTACTTAATACTGAGGGAGATAGAATAAAGAAAAGAGCACTACCTAAAAAAACAAAACAATATTCATCTACAGACAAACTAATTAAAAAGAGATGTTAGCTACATGTTTATAAGCATGATGTGTAGTTAAGTCTTTAAGTCTTTATTCTGCATTCCTTCGGAGCATTGCTTGTGCACATCCTCAGAAATGAATGATAAGCCAACTAATCCTGTGAACGGAAGTAGTCATCAGGATGTGAAGACAGGTTAGCTGCAGACTGACGAAACCACAACAACAATGGCTGGAAGGTCCCCAGAGAAGATATTCCGGTGTCGGCCAGGAATCATTTGGCCCCGATCTGTTTCCTCCATACTGGAATACATTTTGTGATCAAATGTTCCAGAGCTTTTGACTGTATTCCACTGTCTGGTCAGGGACCGGAACTTTAATTCATGATATATTTGTGTAGAAACTACAGCCCAACCAATATGGGTTTGTGAAGCCGATACTGATAATGGTATTTAGGAGTTTAATAAATCCAATCCCATGTTTCCACCCACAGATTTTCTTTTACATCAACACAAAATATGAACATACAATCTTGATACTAATCCCTTAAATATGTTTACTCATCGATAGATCAACCTGGCTGATTGGTTGTAGAAACATTACAGCTCTGAGTGGTGCAACTAAAATGTTGCATTACGTTGCAATCCCTTGAGGTATAATTCCACATGTTACACCTAATATACATGTTTATCTGTTATTTAGCCAAAAACATGTTGTTATAGATGGAATAAATAAGAAATTTCAGAATTGACCGGTATTTAAAGGGAGAGCGGGGTACAGTCTACAATAGTCTAAAGACTACAACCCGTTCTAATTTACTGTCCACTTTCTACAGTGACCTCAGAATAACCTGAAAGTAAACTCATAGCTTTTCTCCCACATGGCATCAAAAGGGAGGTGGGGCAGAAAGACTTGTACTGTGTGTGTGTGTGTGTGTGTGTTTGGTACTAGACCACGTATCTGTTTCTCACACTATTTCAACATTGTGAGACGGTGAGGCACAACGCCTCGCCTGCATCTGCCCTGAGGCTGCTTCTGTCTCACACACTCTCAATCCACAAACACAAACTCATCTGGTGCAAGGAGGATCAAATATTTTACAGTTTACCACTGTATAGTCTGTTCCTCAGTGTTATTGTATGGGTTGTGTGTTTTTTTTTGTGCTCAATTATTGTTAGTGTTATATTTTGTTGAGATGTTGTTTGGCTTTTTGAGCTTTTACTGTGAAGTTTTAAGTTTCCTCAGTAACAGCCATCCAGATATGGAAACAGGCATTCCCAAATACTGGCGAGATTAACAGATAAGTGTCTGATTCTCCTCTCCTCTTCTCTCCTCTCCTCTCTTCTCAACTCACATTCATTCCTTCCTCTTTTTCTTCTCTTCGTCTCACCGATTCATCTCTTCCACCGCCCATCATTTGTCCTCCGTCCCTCCCAGTGTGTGGTAAATCTCATCAGTGAGCTCCAGGAACAGATGTGCAGGTTTCAGGAGGAGATCAGCACTCGTATCCAGGAGAAACGGGCCCTGGAGGAGAGGGAGGCCCAGCAGGGGGAGCCTGAAGGCAGCCAAGCCCAGGGCCACAGCCCTCAGGTCGGGTCAGCTGGCTCAGACCTGAGCCCGTTTGGCTCTGATCCCCGGATGCACAATGGAGGACAGACTGTACACGTAGGGAGACTTGATGGATGAACTCATCTTCCCCTCCTTCCCCATCATTTCTTCTTCTTCTTCTTCTCCTCTCCCTTTTTAACCAGTCCACACATCACCTGGTATTTGGACATTTCCACAGAATCAAACTAACAAGCTCTCTTGTAGTGTGTCTGTGTGTGTACTGCAGGATGTTGGGGTCACACTCTGCTATGGTTCTTGCAGATGTGGGGACTTTTGATTGGTTTTCCAAATACTTCCATACATTTGAGGAGTTATTAAGGTTGTTGAAGCTGAGTCAGTAGCCAAATAGTACAAGGAAACAGTTACAAGTAGTACAACCCACTGTAATTGTTTGCAGGTAGATGTTAAGGGAATAGTAAGTTAGAAACTCCTCAAGTATTTGAAGCATTTGGAAAAACATATTTCAGCCCCAATCTGGATTTTGTCTTTATGAATCCTGTCAAATTGGGTTTTGGACCAGGCGTGTTTTTATTTGATTTGATCTGGTTTGCTTGCATGACACTGGTTCCTCCCTCTACTAACAGAGTTTACATCTGTCCGTTTCCTCCTACACTGACCAGGTGGATGGGTCATGTAACTGTTCCTGTAATGATATTTAATGCTATACAAGGTTTCCCTCGCACAATGGCACTGTGCGGCTGGCAGATGTGCAGCCTGGACAGCTTTCAGTCTTGCTCTGGGTCCTCAGGTTCATCTTCTTCCTGATTGTTGATAACTGCACGCTGTGGTATCTGTTACAGGAGGATCATGTTTACTATATTAACCACTGTACTGTCCAGCCCTGGAGACCTTTTTAACTGCACTGAATGTGAACCTGATGTTTGAATACCCTCCCATGTATATGTTGGCATGTGCACAGTTCAGTAATGTTGTTGATTCTGACATTTACTGTGTTTTAAATCATTTTTCAGAATAATTGTGCACAAGTAGGTGAACTCACTTGCATGACTGTTTACACTGCTGGGTCCGGCTTTGAAAAAGACATATGAGGTAAAAGATGGTGTGTTTTGTTTTTCTCTGCAGGATTTGCTACAAGAAGTGAAGCATCTGAAGAGCAGAGTGGAGGAACTGGAGGGAGAGAAGGGCCAGTATGAGAGGAAACTGAGAGGCACCAAGGTACTTGTTAAACCAACACGTAGCACATAAACCAGCCAACCTGAACTGGTTACACATATATAAATGTAGGTCATATGTTGTGTGTTTAACACTGTAGATAAGGAATATATATTTTTACTTTGTATCAGTGTTACAGATTCCAGCGGTCTGGATGGAAAAGTGAGTTGGTAATGTGCATTGTACTTTACATAACTGTTGCAGAAAAATGTAAATAAATACAGCTGCAGGGTTAATGTGGGCTTGTTATAGCAGGTTTTTATCAGAGCTTACACAGTAATGTACTGTAACTATAGCCAGCATCGCTACCATCATTATAACCACAGACAAAATGCTCACACAGATCCAGGGAATTATAACACCAGTGTGTTTTCATGTACTGGGACTGTACTGTGTAGGGATATTTAGACATTTTGGCCGTGAGATTGTTTTTGTCCAACAGATACTGGTTTTCTGATGCTGATACTTATATCATTATTTGGGAGTTTAAAATATGATAACTATATCTCAGCCCATAATATATATTTTATAAATAAAGACATGATATAGGAAAAGAATAATATTTTTTATTGTAAAACCATCTGCTCTCTGTTGGACAAACTTGGACAAACTAACTAAATTACCTTAAACCTTGTTTGACATTTCTGTACTATAATATACACTGAAACAATACATTTGCAGTAAACCAATATCGTAAAGTAAAAGCTTTAAAGGTGCTGGTAGTTTGATTTTTTGGCTCTGTTTCCAGTCTGAGTGGTATCAATCTTCTCAACAAACTCAGCAAGACCGTGAGAAAGCCTGTTTCCCAAAATGTGGTTCCTTTAAGTGTCCTGGTTACAGTCAGCTTTTTGTGTACACTAGAATTCTGGTGTCCGTATTCATAGTTGGGGGATTAGAGAAACCATTCGAAGCGAGATTCCTCCTGGAGAAAGCTAATTCCATGGCCGTATCAAGGTGGGTTTATAGGCATGGGAACATATCGTTATACGCAGTTGTATAAAAGGAGGATACCATTACCACCATCCATACAGCTTCATATTCAGAATATTTCCACAAAAGACTGAGCTGAAGATTAGAGTGAGTGTAAGTCATTCATGGCTAACAACCACCTGAGTGTAGATGTCACATGACAGGAGGCTGATTAGAGTAACATCTAAGAGGAAATGACATGCTATTATGTCATGGTACAAATAAGATAGCAAAATAGTATACTGAGATTTTGTCATGTGGACAATATGAAGTGCAATACAGTGTGATTTAACCTTTTAAAGTTATAATTTACTGTAACATTTATTTAAAGGTTAAAAACACTTTTCTACATGTGTATTCTTTATCTACTTTTTTATTGGAGCTTTATGAAGCTTACACTGAGTTTAAGTATCCCCCATCAGTCATCCTGACATATTTGGCATATTTGGTATTTTGTAGAACTCTGAAGTCTGTGGAAAATTAGAATAAATTAGAAATTAAAATAATGGTACATGAGTTTGAGTAAAATGTTGTTGCAGAACGGGACTTTACAACAATGGACCAAAAGGTTTCATTAATATCTTGATTAAAATAAAAGCATCTCTTTCCTAACACATTGTTATTGGTTCATTTGAAGGTGGTCAAACTGACATTGCTTTCTCTGTGCTTACAGTGCTTCCTTCCTCCTCTCCCTCCTTCACTCTATTAACCCCTCTCTGCGGCTCGCTCTCTTCACTTGTTTTCCGCTCTTCTCCTCTTTCTCCTCATCTCTCAATCACCCCCCGTCATTACCCTCTTCCTGTGTCTCTGCTCTCTCTAGCTCTCTATCTCTTATTCTCTCCATGTGTGTTACCAGTCGCTCATGACCCAGCTGTCCAGCCTCAAGCTGACTGTGGAGCACACACAGCTGGAGAAGCAGCACTGGGAGGAGCGCTGGCGCAGCGCACAGGTGCCTCCTCTTCCTCCTTCTCTTCTTCCTCTCCTGCCTCTTGCTCTTGTTCCTCGTCGCTTCTCTGTGTTTGCTCCTTTCCTCTGATTAGAGTCCTTTTACTAATTTCCTGCCTCCCTCCTGCTTTTCCACCTCTTTCCCACCTGTGTTCTCTTTTTGCACTTTCCCCACCTCCCCCTCTTCTTCCTAATTTCCTTATTTCGCGCTTGCAGCCCTTGTTGTTTCCTCCTCTAGATTGTCCTTGTTTTTTTTGTTTGTCTTGTGATGGCTGTAACATTTGTTACAGATATTCAAGTAGGAAGGAATGAGAGACAGTTAGAGACAGATTTAAAAAAAAATGTATACTAAAATATTCAGATTTCAGATCTGACTGTCTCTCCATTTCTGTCATTTTGTTTGCATGGGTACTGTAAATCAGTATGACTGTCATGTGTATGCATCAGTTGTGTGTGATCTTGAGTGTTTATGTTAATATTATTCTGATTAGATTAGTATTGCTCCCTCCTTTAAAGTCTACACCAGCAGGCAGTGAGGTGTTACCATTGACAGATGCTGTTCAAACAGAGCTAACTATCATGTTTGCAGGCTCTAGTATTTAGAGCCCAACGTACCAAACTGATGGACATAAATGGTATTATTTAGCAATATGTATATAGGAAACATGTCAAACTAATGGCCATATTGCAGCTCTGCAGTCTCTTTGAATTATTTTTTGCCTTGGCCAGCTTCACTACTCTATTGTGCTTTGTCTTTGGTTTATAGGCTTTTATTGTGAGGGAGCTGCAGAAGGTGTTAAATTTGCATTTATAGGATACCACCGTTGTAAACATGTCTGTTTTCTGCACACACCTGTTCTCTGACACCTGTTGTCTGCAACTGTCGTTCTTTGGCAGCTTTGTTCCTATTATGTGTTATTCTTTTATCTTAAACTGAGATTAGGTCATAGACTAGTTATGAAACAGAGTTCAACACTGATGCCTCTATACGACGCACATAAACAAGTAAGATAAGATGTCCACAGGGCCCGCCAAAATCAACGCAAAATGAAAGTTCCTTGTTGCTGTTTCAAACTAGAAGCAACTATAGTCTGGATCTTTTTCCCCAAGTGCAGATATATACTTATAGTGTCAACTGTGTGTAGATATGGAGAGAACTGGGGTGTTTTTTTTTTTAAATTTCTACAATTTATTAAGGCGGTGCTAAAAATAGAGGAGGTGAAAAAAACGTGGATATGCAACAGAAGGTGGGCGGGGGATTTCAACATATGTAACAATAGTTGTCTTTAGGTGTGTATTCCAGTCATATGTGGCTCAGCAAGCTTAGTCATGATGTAATTACCTAGCCCTCATTTGATTGGGCTTATTCAGTACCTGTTTTATCTCATTGACAGTGTATAACTAGTGTACAGTGACTCACACCTGCATTCTGTCTAATGACCAGCAGGATGAAGCTCCATGGGCTGCAGAAAGAAGTCTGATAGTATTGAGTCTTTTGGAGAAATGACCCGACTTCTAACTTGACTTATTGGCTCAGTATACAGTTTCCTAATGAGTTTATGGTCTCAATCTCTAGTTTCAGTCTTCTTCCATACAGAATGGTGTTCATTTAGTAAATAATGGTCTAATTTAGAGTAAAATAGAGTAATATAGTAATAAAGCTGGGTATGCCTCAGGGCATGGCTAACTTGGGATTGAAGTCATTCTCAGTGAGTCCTTCCAAAACTCAGATCACACTGTCCACAAACCAAGGGTGACACCACGATAGGTTCATACTTGGTTTGTCTTCCCAGTGTCTAAGGTCTGTGTTTTCAAGAGACAGACTTGCATTATCAATAGCTCACAGTGTCGTCTAATATCATTACCCAAGTGATTTGACAACAATTCACACCTCATTGAATGTGACCGGTCGCTCTCACGAGTGGGATGATACATCGACATGTAAATCACATATAGAATTTAAATTCTGAGCCTGACCTGAAAAATACTCTTGTGTTTAAGAGGACGCTGCAAGTCCAAGACTTAGACTTAAAACTCCTCATAACTCTTGGATACCCACTGACCTGGAAGTTCAGTTCACAGATATGTACTCTGCCTTCCTCCACAGGCAGAAATCTCAGAGCTGCAGCAGCTCCTGGCCTCCAAAGATGCTGAGATCGAATGCCTGCAGACCCAGCTGCTGGCCAGAGGTGGTACTGCCAATGACAACGCAGAGAGAGGTACACACAGCTGACAGTCTGACCAATCACTTCAGATCTACATCTGTTAGTGCGGATGTTTGCGTGAGAGCCAGCGATATGCATGTCTGTCAACTCCTATTACTGTAACATCTAATCAACATGTCCCTCTCTCCTCTGCTGTATACTGGACTTGTTTTTGACTCTCTGCTGCCCTCTGCTGTAGAGGAGGTGTATGTCAAGCAGCTGATTAACAAATGTAAGGCTTGGTGTGCTTTTGATGTGGCTCTAATTTTCAACCAAACTCCTCTGCCTACATAGCCGCTTGACAACTCGATTTCTCTGTTTTGGTCATGCTGTGTAACTTCAAATATTTGCTCATTGTGCTTTTAATTCAAGTCTTAACAAACCTGAAAGATAAAAACAGCAAGTGCTCACTTTAAATGTTTAACTGGTAGCAGAGTGTTTGGTTGAGATCGGACCACAGCTGAGCTTTAGTTTGTGTTAGTCGTGGTAAACATTGCAGCTTCAATAAAAGTGCAGTACATCCTTTCAAACCTTCTGGTTGGCAATGCAACATATTTGGAGGGTATTATACTGCTTATACTATGGCCACCTTCCAACAAAGTGCCATTTAATTCAAATTTTGAGTTGTTTATTTACTCATATGACTAAGTTTGACCTCAGTTTTCTGTTTTAAACATCATGAAATATAGTTCCTACTACCCTAGTTCCCAGACCTCAGGATTCCTGTCGTCCTGTCCTGTTTTGGTTGCATGTACTCTTTGGTCCTCTCTTCTTTCCCCTGTAGCAGTCCCTCACACCGCACAGGCTATTACAGTAGTTTCACCTTAGCTAGCCTTGTTTCAAAAGTCCTCTCTTTCCTCTTACCATTAAGACTAACATAAATATATCAGAAACATTTGAAGCAAACATTTGCATGGCTCCGATTGAGAAGCTATTTATCTCTTTTGTTTTACTGGTTTGTTTTGGTAACATAAATAAAACTAGTTTTTTTAGCTAAGCCCTATTGTCGCTATCTTTACCTAAAATGTAATGCTTGTGCATTAAGAAACTGAATCAGAACTGAGAATTCTCAGTGGCCTCGGTATCAGTGCGTATAAAATTGAGTCTCCTTTGGTTTGCCTGCAATGAGCCCAATATTTTAAAGGGGTAATCCAGCAATGTAGTATATTATACCTCCATTAGAAGTTGGGGCTGACCAGACAAAACAAAATTGATGCAGCAGAAGCCAAAATATCCTGATGTTTAGTTTTTAGTACGGTTCAAGCTCCAGTGACACTGCTTCCTACATTCCCCACAATGCAACTGATAGCATCGTTTTCATTAGACCCTCCTTATGTTTGTTTTTGTTAAAAATGTATAGTCTTAGCCCTAGCTGAGATAACCCTGATGACATCACGATGACATAAGCAGGGTTATTGTGGCAGACGTGACAAAGACATTAAACAGCTGTATTCACAGGCAGAGTAGTGCTAGTGAACTCACAGTTAAGTGTACAATTGTTGGAATTCCCCTTTAAGATACATGTATTTGAAAGGATATTAAATCTGTCCCAGGTTTGTGTGTATGTGTGTGTGTGTTCATATTGTGTTACTTGTAAAGGCATCATCTCTATATGAAAATGTAATTTATGGAATGTTGTTGTTTTTTTGCTGGTATTGGCACCGTTCTTATACACAACATCAGTGCTGTCATCATGAGAAGCTGCAGTGTTTGTCCCAGGTGATGGTGTATGGGCAGTCGCGCTGTCAGTGCCTATTTGTTTTGCCTGTTTATTCATATTAGCATGGCTGTCATGTCTGTCGCCAGCATTGCATCTGGCACCCATCATGCCCCGAATTTACAAGACATGAGGTTACAGAGAGTCCAAAATAACATTTTAATGCCTCGTTTTTTCTTTGTTAGACCAGGAATACCAGAGGTTGAAGGTGGGGATGGAGTCTTTGTTAGCCTCAAATGATGAAAAGGTAAATGTACACCACTGCTGTAATGAGAGTTTTCCGGTTTGTTTTAATGAAAAAAGGGGCCCTGTCATTTTACAAAATGCTAAATATGTGTGTATTGCTGATAACAGGATCGACGTATAGAGGAGCTGACCATTCTGCTTGGCCAGTACAGAAAGATGAGGGAGGTCATGGCACTCACACAAGGTAAGAATTATGTCATTTCTTTCTTGAAATATAAGTTTTGGATGAGCTACAACTCAGAAAATACTGCACATTGTTTTTTTCACTCCTTCCTATTTTTTGTAACGGTGTTGTGCTGTCTAATATTGTGTTTTTACCAACCAGGGAGTAGTGAAGAAGAGCTGAGTGGCAGTTTAAGACTCCGAGCCATCACACACAAAGCACACTCTGATATCCTCAGGTCAGAGGTAAGATGATGAGTATACAACCTTTATTACAACCTATAATTTCCACTGATGTTTTGCTTACAAGAACTGAAAAACCAACATAATGTTTTCTCTCTGCATAGATGTCATCAAGAGGGTCTTCTCCACTAATGTTATCCTCGTCTCCTTACCAGCGAGAACTAGACTTGAGGTATAAACACTCAAAATACACATACACACACGTCTCACAACTTTCTATTAATCTTCCCCCTCGTGTGACATTTGTTGCAGTATCCAGAACTCTATGGACACGTCGCTGGTGTCCACTGGGGATACAAGCCACTTTAATGGATCCTGGTAAGTTGAAACTTTCTGTGTGTGTATTACTTCAGTTGTCTACGTTGTCATATGGGTGCTAAGTCAGCAGGAATGATATGATGGCAGATCTTTTCTTTTTTCTAACTCTGAAGTCTGTTGTTTGTTTCCAGGCACCGGAGCAGGTTGCTGTCTAGCAGCCTTGAAGAGTTGCAAAGTGGATCCTTACAAAAGGTCTGTTATTGCACCTCAAATCAGTTGCCTACTGCTACTGACTGACTTTGATAATACGCTCATCTAATCAAACTAATCCAGCCTGCTATATTTGCTGCTGCTGCTTCTGAAATACCAGATTTCAACATGCACACTAACTTTGTTCTTTTAATGTTTAGGATGATTACTAACCTTATAACTCTGGCTTTGTCTGTCTGTGTGTGTGTGTGTGTGTGTGTGTGTGTCTGTGCGTGTATGTGTGTGTGTTTGTGTGTTTTCTTTCCTCTCTCCTGTGTCTGTGATAATGTAGGCTGTAGAGATCCAGCCAGTTGAAACTGAATCAGACGTAGGGGCAGAGGTACTAATCTGCTGCATGACTTAACACAACTTAACCTTTTCCTAACTCCCAGAAACACACACACACACACTATATTACTGTTTATAACACAGCAGGGGTAGAGTCCAGCAGAGGGTTTCTCTTATGAAGAGAAACTAGATAAAACTAAGTTTTCCATTCCAGTTATACAAGTACATAATGCAGTCAAGGCATGCACGCATGTACCCAGACACATCCCTACAAATTTAGATCATTAACCCATAGGGTGCTTGCATCAACTACAGGTTTGCTTTTTAAAATACAAAAATGGGATTTTATTTGTTATCGTATCAGCTGGGGGAAAAAAATCCATATTGTGCATCCCCACTAAGTGTGTCTTGAGCCTTGTGTTGTACAGCACAGAGAGTGATGTAATGCTCCAGCTGCCCTTTGACCTCTTGTTCCCAGTGTGACAAGCAAAGTTCACAGCTGAGGTTTCCCTCTGAGTAAGAGGGAAATATGATCACAGCCTTACACTCATTCACACACACACACACATATTCTTTGCTCCACAGATGCTCATGCTGCACACACATAGGCAAACACATAATCATACTGTGTTCATAAACACACACAAAGACCCACCTGAAGTGGCTGTCAGTAGTGCTCGGCATCATGGTTGCCTCCCAGCTGTTTCTCTCTGCTGGCCTTTCTCCTCTTATTCCTTCAGAGCCCCGCTGACTTTGATGCCTGCTCAGATACTGGCATCTTCACCCTCCAAAGGACACTCTGTTATGCAACAGGGCAAAGGAGCAAAATCAAATTATGACTCCACTGTTAACTTACCAAAGACATGTAAATGGGACTGACCAGCCTGTATAGAGGAAATGTGATATGCTATAATAACTTTACAACCTCAAATAAGAGTGTAGTAGTTTGGATGTATTTAAGCTGTGATTTGCCACAGAGTACCAGAAGCAGAAAGGCAAATGTGTCCACTTGTTACGATTAAGGTTAACTATTAAGAAGAACATTGTACTAAAGGCTAGTAGGCGTCTCTTTCCATACTTTCATCACACATTATGGTAATTTATTTGAAATTGGGTTCTAGAGCAGACTAAAAAAGTAACGCACTGTTTTACTTTTTCTATTCTGCAGAATCCCCACCTGGAGCTGAGCAAGTACCAGACTCTGCCGGGGAAACGCAGTAAAAAGAGCGAGCTGAGGACCGAGCTGAACGGCGACAGAGAGGAAGACGGAGAGTATTTCTCTCCCGTCCACAGCCACGAGCAGGACTACAGCCTCAGTGAGTTTCTACATTGCAAACCAACAGGGGACATATATAGTCTGTTTCACTGCCTCTGCAGCCGTCTGTCAGACTTTGAAAAGATACTGTAATTTTGATTATTTTCTACCTTTTGAAAGCAAACTGTTTAATGAAAAGTGAAGTCTGTGGGACATTGGGCCTCATGCAAGAACCATCAGTATAAACTAATATGTAATTAAATGGCACATTAGACTTTTTAATTACCATTACATTTTCTTGAATTCTTGAAGGAATTTGGAGTTTAAATATCATATCAGACCAGATGTGAATCCAAGACTGGATTAAATGATTGAAATATTAACAGAAAACCACCTGCATTCTTCCCCCGACGTAAGTGATGTATGTACAAAAGAGTACAAACAAAAGAGCAACTATAAAAATAGCACAGAATTGATTTACAGGAACCACAAGCAAGGTGATGGTTGAAAAAAGAAAACTGACTTTTAATCTACAGGATAAAATCAGATGTAAAGTGAGCGGACCACACAGTTATCTAGAGAGTAACATAGTTAATTCTTCATTCTTTGGAGTTGTGGTTTGTGTTGTGAAGTTGAAGTTGACTGACACTGAACTTTTGAATGTTTTGTTTTACTGCATTTGCCTCAGTGCTCTATTGAGACACCAGATACGTATATCCACACTATCTCACCTGAAAACTGACAGGCATGAGCGTGGATCCTGCACCGACTCTAGGGTTTTGATCTCAGATCAAAGAAATTTGTCTAAGACAAACTGTGGCAAAAGTCGTATAGTCTTCTGCAGTCAGAAAACTGCCTCAGGGTCTTTATACAGGTCGCTGCCCAGTATCACTTACTCAGTATCACCTACTGCAGGTCATCATATTATCTCCTAACCGTCACATCCGTTTGACCCCCTCTCATATTACTCATGGACAGCTTTTCTGACAGGCCCAATAACACATTGTTGGCATCGTATTAATATTTCATAACTTGTTCTGGGTCTTTATAACTCTGCTAAAGGTGTTCTGTTCTTGTTTGATGATGTCTGACAGCAGGGCTCCGCTGTGTGAATTCTTCTTTGTACTCTGGAGTAACTTCTGGGTTTTTGTGAATGAAATGTGCCCACAAGGAAAGATCAGAACAGCTTTATACTGTCGATTATGCTAACCTCCCTGACAGACACCTCCTCATGTACAGTTTGTGTTAAAACAAGCTATTTATAACAACTTTGTGCAGCTATAGGAGAGTTCGGTGCATCTGACTTGAAACACTCATACGACCTAATCTCACTGAAAAAAGTGAGAGAAGTTCAGGATAAGAACAATGTTCTCGCTCTTGTTTCTGAAAAGAGACGTTGCGGTTTCTGCCGTAAGCACCGTAAATGAACTTCCAGTGACCTCGGTTGTAGGGAAAAATTACCCAGCAGAGCACAACTGTCTACTTAAATACTACCCCAGGGGTTAAGTGGGACAATTCTTTTTTTAAATTAATGTTGCCAAAAAATCTAATTTATCATCTGTAACTGTTGAGTAACTCTTTGTCAACTAACTTTGCTAAAACTGCTTCCTCCTCTGTGCCCTTTGTCCCTCTCTCCTCCTCCTCCTCCTCCTCCTCCTGTCTGCTTCGCTGTCGGATCGCTTTTTTCTCTGTTTGTGTTGTGGCTGCAGTTCGCTGCAGGAGTGCCAGTGCTCCGGCTTTAGGTACTGTATGCTCACACAGAAATTCAAATGTCAACACCGGAAACAAACTTTTTAGGAGAATTGAGTCAATTCGCTGATGTTGTTGCTCTGAGTCTTTAGTCATACAAACAGGCCGTCTGGCAAACAAAATTCTGTTATCTCATGAACAAAACAAGATAGTCCCTGCCACAGCCAAACCTCGGAGGTGAGCAGAGTCAGGGTGAGCCACCGCTTTCACAGAGGATCAAGCTCCTTTAAAGCCGGGATTATTAGGACTCCCTCATGACTCAGTGAGCTGTCGAAGATAATGCCCAGCTCTCTCGCATCAGCATTCACTGAAACACACACACACTTAAAGCTAAAAGGCATATAAGCACACACCCATGTATCGACCTACACAGAGACACAGCTTAAAGCAGGAGGGTAATCACGGCTGTGAGAGGGCGAGGAGTGCGAGCTTTAAGGATGTGTGCAGTTCAGCTAGCTTAGACATCCACAGTAAACAAACAAGGATGCAACCTGACATCCCCCCTGCTTTTGCTCTCACTGCCTCACCCGGCACACTCTCACTGACAGGCTGAAGCAGGACGTCGCTGAGAAAGAGCAAGTTGAGCAAGTGCTCAATGTACACAGGTGTAGAATAAGAACAAACACTTATATTCATGATGTAATGAGGTAGCAATATATGACTTGAACACTGACAAGCTTCAAAGAGCCACCCACACTCTCAGTATCTGAACAATAAAATGAGTTTTATGTAAACAAGCAGACTTAGACTCTGACTCTGTGACCCGGTTTGGCTCCTGCCTGAGGCTTGTAGATTTGCATGTTGCTGCTTATTACACCTAACATGTATATAACATTTATTTTGGAGATAAAGAGGGTGTGACTAATGCTCGCTTCTGCTCTCTGTCTGCTTGCTTTTCTTCTCACTTCACTAACCTCCTGTGCCCCAGGATCTCCTGGAAAACATGACCTCTATGATGTTGGTGGGTATTGCATCTCAGCCCCAGTGTGTAATTGGGTTACCATGCTGGTGAGACTGACTGAATCATATAGCCAAAGTAGTTCTTTGTAGTGTCTGCAACATAGAAGAGAACTCATATAGGCTTCATGAGGAGCACTAACTGAATTCTTGGAAGCATTATTGTATTAATTTAGAACGACTGTATAATTTCTGTCGGGCACTGAATGAGCAGGAAATGAGAACATGTTTTGAAGTATCGTTTTGACACTATGAGGCTTACAGCTACTAATCAGGTACTCCATAAGGCAACTGTTAAAGCTGCATCAGTTGGTTTTCTTTGGACACTTGCTGTCAGCAAAACAAGCTAAATATGTTGTTCTGGCTAATGTGTTAGCAAACAGTTGCCTATTTACATATCTATCAGACACAGAGCATCATTAGCATCCATTTGGAGTGGTGTTCTGTTAGCTACATTCATAGACCTTTTTACAGCCATTTTGATAACTATATTTATATATAATTGAACTATATTTCAATTATATATTATCATTGATAACACCTGTGTTTACCCTATTATTTAATGTCAAAATGGCTGCTGTTCAAAAATCCAGTATACAACAAAAAGTGCAACAAACTATTACAACTTAATGGAAAATGTGTTAGCAAAGATTTTTCATAATACACGAAGTATTTAAAGTAGTGATTTTTAATATAAACATGTTCAGCTTTAATTGTACTCTTTAGGAAGCTATATATTATTTAATGTACAACATGTAAAAAGGGCTACTAATGTAAGAAACAGAACCGAAGCGTGCTTTACCTTTGAGCAAACATACAGTTGGCATGGATTGTATGTTTGAGCCAAGACAAAGAATACTCACTCTCACAATTTTATTTTCCCAGATTTTCCCATACTGGAGTATCAATGATTGTATTCTTGTGTTTTTGTCTGGCAGGGCATCCAGAGAAGCTAGAGGAGTGTGTTCTATCAGACCAGTCCCCTCTGTCCTCTGGAGTGGACTCTGGACAGCAGTCCCCTGTCTCACCAGAGAACAGGAAAAGTCAAAGAGGCATTAAGAAACTCTGGGGGAAGTAAGTTCTGAAGATATATATGTGTGCAAATACTGTATGTACAGTACCTATACATTAACACTCAAAGCCACATTCTCTCAGTCCCTCTACCTCTTTCCAGTTTTCCTTCACACACTCATCTGTGTTTTGGTTGTCCCCAGGATTCGTCGTAGCCAGTCAGGTAGTCCTGCCCAGGTTCACGACCCCGAGCTGGGGGAGTTCAAGAGGGGTGGCTTCAGAGCTACAGCTGGACCAAGACTGGCCCGTTCAGGGAACACACGGTATAAAAATTCTACTCTCACACACTATATATTCTCATACAGGGAAAGAGACTGCTGAAGATAGTTGTCTGTTAAGCTCTTATTTGACCTATGGTAATAGGATGTTTGTATTACAAAGATTGCACTACCATCTTACTTGGACACTGCCTTTATAATCCAAAAGCCAAGTTTATGTAATTCTATTTATGGCGTCCACTTTCACAAATTCAAAAAGCGTCACGCCTCAGCAGTCATTTTTATATTTTCCTCCTCACCACTTCAGAGACTTGAAGATGCCTCTTTCTAAGTGGAGCGCAGAGCAGGTGTGTGACTGGCTTGAGGAGATTGGACTCGGTCAGTACGTCATCCTCGCTCGCCACTGGGTCACCGGCGGTCAGACTCTACTGTCGGCCACCCCGCAAGACCTAGAGAGGGTAAACACGCACACACACACACACCACCTACTATATATATAGACATTTGTCCGGCTCAGTTGGTTTACCTGACAAAATAATCTTCCATTCAGCCTGTCAAATATTTTTCAGTTCTACCTGTCTGATCATTGCTGCTGTCTGTCTGTCTGTTTGGCATTTAGCAACGCCTGTCTCTGCTCCTCAAAATGCGCGTTAGTTTCGCCTTCAACACTGTCACATTGTCCACCTCAGACGCCCCCGAAACTCTCTGTCTCTCTCAACAGGATCATTTTAATTAGATAATTCACTCTAATGGGGGCACATTCTTCCTTCCTCAGGTGAACCCATAATGTTTTCTGTAAGATTAAAGTATCTGTGACAAGATGAAGTTTTTCTTCCACTTTGTCTCCAGGAGCTGGCGATGAAGAATCCGCTCCACAGGAAGAAGCTGCAGTTAGCCATCAAGACGCTCAGCAGCAAGCAGCCTGAGAAGTCCGCAGAGCTCGATTACGTCTGGGTCACCCGTACGTACTGAAATCACACGCTGAAGTAAAACACTCACTGACAGAACTTCACTCTGAGGTTCCCTCACAGAAAAACTGATATTTTATATTCCAAAGGTTGGCTTGATGACATCGGCCTTCCGCAGTACAAAGACCAGTTTAATGACGGAAGAGTGGATGGGCAGATGCTGCAGTACCTCACTGTGGTGAGTTTGATGATGATGATAATGGTGATGAAGGTCAAATAATAACCGTTAAATCACAGTTCATGGAAGATGAGATTTATTTTAAAAAACGCATTCATTTAAAGCACTTGTTTCAGGGATAAAACTGGTGTAGCACAAACCTGCATGCAGAGATTTGATGCTCACTTTATCTTTCCGTTGTTATAGTTGCACTCATCTCTTTGTCTTCTCTCCATCTCAGAACGACTTGTTATTCCTTAAAGTGACCAGCCAGCTGCATCACCTCAGCATCAAGTGCGCCATTCATGTCCTCCATGTCAACAAGTTCCACCCCAACTGCCTCAAACGCAGGCCAGGCAATGAGGTCAGTGTGTGTGTGTGTGTGTGTCCATATTGACTAAAGCTTCTTGAGCAGCGTTCAGTTTGTATGAACCATCTGAATAAACTCCCAGAACACAATTCTTGTAAATCGAGACCCTATACTTTTGTAATTGGATTTAGACTATTAATTCGCATCCTGTGCTGCATTATAACTTTTATTTAACTTTATTTAACTTTTTATGTTTCCATTCATTTCCATACAAACTGAAAATCTGCTTATGGTGTCTAAAACAGACTTTATTCATGTGTGTATCTTCCTGTGTGTGTTTCAGAACCAGTGCACTCCCTCTGAGGTGGTCCAGTGGTCCAACCACAGAGTCATGGAGTGGCTGAGATCTGTGGATCTGGCAGAGTACGCACCAAACCTGAGGGGCAGCGGCGTGCACGGAGGGCTAGTAGTGAGTACATGTAACCACACTTTATGGGACAAAGAAACAGAAACACTACAGAAACATCATTTTGAATTTGTCTCTCCTCTCATAGATGCTGGAGCCTCGGTTTAACTCGGACACGCTGGCCATGCTGCTGAACATCCCTCCTCAGAAAACGCTCCTGAGACGCCACCTAACCACCAACTTCAACAGCCTGGTGGGAGCACAGGCTCAGCAGGAGAAGAGGGAGTACACTGAGGCGGCGGGGTACACCCCACTCAGCATCACAGCTAAAGTCAAGGTAAGATAATACAAGAGAAAGTACTCAGAGGCAACAATGCTGCATTAAGAGAACTCACACACAGTTAACCCGTCTTCTCTTCCTGTGTGAGAGAAAGCACCTTAATCCGAGGTGAAACCTTGGTGTGTCAGCTCAGTTTAAGCTCTGAGCCCTTCAGTGTGTTTAAGCTGGTGAGAGCAGAGTAAACCCGGGACTGCTCTGCTCCTCCTCACAGCTTTAAGAGCCAGCCATCAGCTGCAGCCTCAGCTCTAAGTCCCTCTGTGCTCTGCTGAAGAAAAATGGAGGAATAATCCACCCTAAAACACAATGCACACTTGCTGTTGACCCATTTATGACCTTGGACACTTGGATCTTAAATTTCTTAAGCTTCTCTCTGAGCACTAAATATTCATGTGGATGGTTTTGTGGACAAATATATAACCTGGTTGACTGTGAATCTAAAGGAAAGCCCACAAAAATAGATTTATTTGTGTGTGTGTGGCCAGTCAGCTACTGAGTGATAATATCACAGTGGCTTTAGTCAGCAAGAGCAAGCTTAGAGGACACATTTTTATAAGCTGCTGTCTGTTGCTGCCTGGTATTATTTCTTACTCACATGCACTGAATGCAACACTAAAATGTGGATATAAAAAAACCCTGTATACAGTGACTAAGGCTGAGAAGACACAGAACAGAAGACCTTTCACCTGCCAGTAACGTGCACCATGTGTCTAAAGAAGTCAGAGAATTTTGAAGGAAAAAACGATTATTACCCAAAACCTCCTTTGTTAACATCCATCACATTGTGTACACCTACTTCCTGATTCACCTTTAATCTGCTGTTTTTGTTGTTCAGGTGCATCCTCTTTGGGTTTCTCCTCCAGTTGAAGTGGTTCAGATAATCTGGCTAAAATAATGTCTGATTGTCGGACTTTTTGATTCTGGTCCTGTTCCCTCATTTCATCGATACATTTGATTTGTACAGTGTTATCGTAAGTGATAGAAACGATAGCCAATACTATAAAAATAAGATCCAAGTTGTAATAAACAAAAATGATCCTGAGACGCTTTCAGGTGATCATTTTTATTGATCAGTTAGTCATATCTCTCTGTTGTGTCTTCTCCTCGCAGCCGAAGAAGTTGGGCTTCTCTAACTTGACTCACCTCAGGAGGAGACGGCCGGATGAATCCACAGATTACGTCTGTCCAATCGAGTCGTCCTCGCCTCAGTCGGGACAGTCTGCAGTGAACGGGGTGCAGGTCCGGCCCTACGCCGGCTTCAGAGGCCTGAGTCCCATCCTGGACCGAGAGTCGGACCGCTCCAGGGACCAGGTGGGGCTCGACGGCAGCGGAGCTGACCCATCTCCATGACAGCTGTGACAACAACATGGCGATACTGTGTTGTCACGCTTTTCATCAGCCAATCAGCTGTCACTGCTACTACTCTGCTTCCTTTGCTTGCGGCCCTTAATACCTCAGCCCATCCTCTCCCTGCTCCTCTCAACCCCCCGCCCATCAGCCCAACCCTGTGCCTTACGAGTGAAGAGATTCAGAGACGCCCAGATAAACCTGCCTGACTGTTTCACAGCAGCAGCTACTGGTTTTGAAGGGTGTACTGACACAATGAATCTACACACTTTAAGTATTTTGAGTTCACTTCCAGTCAGATGCCTAACTAACCCAACCTCAGCCTCAAACCTGTGCCATGATCTAACTCATCATGAGAGAACACAGACAGCATCTCTCTGGACTCCACTTCCTGTAACCCATATATGGACAGCTCCTGTTGTACAGTATTAAGCTGTTGTTCTAACAACTGTGCACCACCATTAGATGATTTTATATGTGTGTGAGTCAGTCATCGAATCATTTATAACTTTGATTTGCCAGTTGAATACAGTTTTGTCACATGGTTGGGATGAACTTGTGCAATATTTGCATAATATTATGGAGGGATTCTATTTAATATTTATGTCATTGCAGAGGAAATTATAATACAGCATGTTTAGTTTGAACCTGAGGTGGTGATTTTGTACTGTTATTTTCATATTTCCTGTAATAGTATTTTTATAGTAAGAAAATACTGCTCCGCAAAGGAAGCTTACATGTGGTCATGTAAATGTAAAAAGATTGATCAAATCATTTAATAAATAAAATGATACGTGTGTAAAGTTGATTCATTTTTTGTACACAAATGGCAGAAAGGTCAGAGTAGAAGTATAAAGCAGTGGATTTAAGTTTTAAATTATTGTATTCATTTATTTTGGATGTACAACATATTATGGACATGTTTTCTTGAGGAAGCATGCACTTTTTCTGTTACATAATCGATCCAACCCCAAAGACAAAGAAAATACAGAATAATTTTTAAGCTTTGAGAGAACTCACAGGAACAGAATGACTCGCCTGAGTAACTTGCATCAACCACTAACCTGCTTTCATCATCATCTTCACCATCATGGTGGCTGTCATGGCTGTTTATGACACCAGCTTCCCCCTCGGCGGACCAATCTGTGCCAAGATGGCTGCTGACCATTACCATGGTAACCCTGTTAAAAATGACATGGGAAGTGCATGTTTGAGTATGGCTCAGTGGCAATATATAGTTCAGCATACTTACAGAAATGTATGAATTGCTATATACTAAAGCCTCGGAATCATTGATTCACTGAAAATCTGTCTGTAATCGTAACTTATAATGGGTTCATGAGACCCTCTGTGTGTGTGTGTGTGTTGCAGATGGCGATCACAGAGGGTACCATGTTGCAAATAGAGGCTCTGTCTGAAAGCATCAACAACCTCACAGTAAGCACCAACACACACAAGCTGCTGGTAATGACTTGTGCAGCGGATTCACTCAAAAGTAACTGCTCCTCATCAGTTTAACAGAAGTTTGAGTCACTCAGACGGAAAGCTCTGGAGTTTATCTCAGGGAGAAACAACATTAAAACGCTACAGATCTGTGTGATAATGATAACACGATGACTTCCAGAGTGAAACCTGCTCGCTGGTACTTCATTACTCGCTGTTATCAGCCAGATGCCAGTCTTGGTTCTTTTGCTGCCGTTCTGTTTGCTGAAGTCATCTCAGTAATTGAACCCCAAGGCTTTGGATAGCAAACATGTAAAACCACTTCTTATTAGCCTCCTAAAACAACATCACCTGTGAACCAGTTCACATTAGCCTTATTTTATTACTATTTAAAAAGTTTCATTTCAAAGTACAGTCTACAGTACGGTTCAGTATACAGTCTAAGAATCTGTAAAGACGACACCATTTTTTAAATTTTAGTTCTTTTTTAATAAACCTTTTAAGAGCAAATGTATAACATCGTAAATTAACCCTTTCATTTATTATTTCAGAAACAATTAAAATGTTTACGCTTCCCATGGTACTAAAAAGGCCACGGCCTAAATTAATCTGACTGATAATGAAAAAATAGACCTTTTTCACAGCAAATGTTCTGCGATGTCACAGCAATGCAATCAGTTACATCAATGACAACATTGAAAAAACCTTTAATTTTATCAGGTCCACCTGTGGCTTTCAAGTCAAAACATCTGCTGTGAAAAAAGTTCTTGTTGCTTAACTCTGCAGTGAAGATGGTGATGCTGACTTGGGATAAGTTCTCCTTATATATCTCACAAGGTGCTATATGTTACGTGTAGCATTTTAGATATAACTGGTATAATTTACAATAACAAATGAGGCCTTTGATGACACAGTTGAATGCATTTCCTAGTGGTACTGTACATCAGGACCACATTTCCCATAAATCTTTGCCATAAACCTAATGTTGGCTCTTAAGTCAAAGTTTACTGTTGTGCTGTTTCTTCTGCTTTGTACCATAAAGAAATATGACACAAAATAAGAGTCTCTGATGGTCTTATTTGTTTACAATATCCTCATATAGACTGAAGTTAACTGTGTTAACTGATCCCAGCTCAGTGCCAAACACCAACTCCCAAGCTTTCTAACCCATTACCACTCCCATGATGCTTTGCTTCCAGTACCTGCTCAGCCGAGACGAGCTACGGAAGGAGATGAGGCGGTCTCAGACAGCGCTAGTATGAAGGACAATGACCAGACGCCGTTGGCTCACTAATGCTGTCAATCAACCACAGAGACCTGTAGCAACCAATCTGGCACCTGTACTGTACCTCAAGCCCCGGCCTAACACTGCAGCGTGGAGCTGTTACATCTACTTCTACTAGCTGCTGATACCTCATGTAACACCCACAGTCACACTGCAGATACAACGCAGCTACGGACACCAGTGGACACTGTAGAAAACAATCAAGGGTTGCTTACAAAAATCTTTTTTTAACTTCTACAATAATGAACTGAACTGTTGCTCATTAGCCATTTGGGGCATTTTTTTTCTACTGCTTTACTTGTTTCCCTATGCAATGTATACTCTAATAATCATACTGACCACTGTGTACTGTATATACTGTATATACTGTGCTGGTATATCAAAGGGGCGAACAGGACCACAATTAGCCATCCTTTGTTTTATGGCAATCATACCATATCCTTACAATATCTTAATAGTATCCTTTCTTAGAGAGTGGACAAAAAAGAGCCAGATTCAAAACTGATACGCACACATAGACACTGACAACTGTCTAGTCAACATTATCGTTTTGAAGTTAAGAGACATTAGCAGCATGATATGTTGAAACAAACTGGATATTTTGTTAGAACTGATCTTCACAGTGTGTGAAAGCACTGGGTGGGACAAAAACTTACCTAACCCATGTTACTTAGTTGAAATAACTCATATAAAAGATTCAGTGGAAATTGAAAAGCAGTAAATTGAGATACAGTAGCCATGGAGAAAAGGTTTGTCTATGAGAGTCCATTAAAGCATCTTAAAATGGTATATGAGATGGGACAGAATTGGTCTGGAGTAATGACACTGGTGGTGGTGAAATGACCGCAGGGGTGTGATGAGAGTTCATCAGGTGTCCAGGGACAGTCTACAGATCATTTTGAAAGACATAATCAGTGATACTGTAGCTAAAACATTGCAGCCAAGAAGTAACCGTTGCATAATGTGAGAAAAAAGTTAGTCAGGTATGGTAATGTATGAAATGTGTGAACGAAAAGAGCTTTAGCAACATGAGAAAGTGGAAATCTATTAACTTCCATTAGAGGCCAACCAATACATCAGTATGGCCGCTATTATCTGCCAATATTAGCTTATCACGGATATATCTTACTGGCGTACAGGTCAGTCGACAAGTAAATGGCTGCATTCACATAGAATTTTTATCTAATACACTTTAAAATTTGCTTCCTGTTCCACACTCACTGATGGCAAGCTGCTCACCCAATCATCAGCACAATTTGGGCTTCACTGTGTAGCCCAAGGACAATTCAAAGCATACACAGAAGGAGCTGGGGAACAAGCGGCTCAACTCTGTGATCAGTGGACGACCGGCTCTGCCTCCTGAGCCACAGTCGCCCCTCATAGAAAGCAAGCACATTCCAGAATTGCCAGATATATTTGAGCTCATTTAGAAACAGAGTCACCATTACATAGCTTGTCCTCCAAAGAGCGCTGACAAGTTTGCTTTAAAATGTGAAAAGTCCTGCTTTGTGCATACTTTGGTTACAATTCTAAATAAATAAACTTGAACTAATCTATATTGCTATATAAAGAGTGGATTCAATGAATGTGTGTAATATGGAATTGGTTCCCTTAGTGACAAATGCACAAAGAATTATCACTTGACTTCCCCTTTTTCTCCGCTTTTTAACATCTTTTATCTCATTGTTTTGGTTTTACAGCACTCCCACTAACCTGGCTGTCCCAGATGGTTTGATACACAGAACCATTTGGAAAGAGGTTTTGGAAACTGTTTGGAAAAGAAAAAAAATTAAACATTTGATTGGATGAACTATTACCATCTACCACGGGCGAACTTTAACCAATCAACAAACCATATAACGTTGTCAAACTCTTACCGAAGCCAGCTGGGAAACGAGTGAAAATATTTTTTCTATTGAGCAAAGCCTTTAGTGTTGTTCTCTTTCAAAGAACAAATACCCTCCAGTTCTGATATATAAGTGATGCTAGCAGCATCTATGCTATGCTAATCTACGCACCCACCCCGTAGCATGCAAGTACTTCCCCAAAGGATGTTAGTTTGGCCACAACTGCATAGAAGCCTGGCAAGGCTCTCCACCCCAAGCAGGCCAAAAAAACGTCTTTACGGAATCCTTTTCAAAGATACATTTCCATGTATTTCCATTATATGTTTATGTTGAATATAGTTTATATATGTGTATTTTGTAAACTCTAATTTCCCTGGATGTTCAACAGTTTTAACAAGAGAAGAATATTTTGTCTGGTGTAAGCACAAATTATGTTTAATTTGACCCTGTTCGCCCCAATTGTACAGTATATGATCTAGTACAGCACTATTTTTCTGGTTAGAATAACTGCACTGTCCATTTAGGAAAGACGTATATATCTGCTTTTACAAAGTATATGTTTGACTGCACAAATGACAACATGAGTGGCAATGTAGGGCAGTAGATGTTGTTATGTTTGGTTAACGAAATTAAAAAAAAGAACGTTTTCCCTCAATGTCCCACCACTGTCCCAGACATGACAAAAATTGTCCAAAGTTGTTTCAGTAACTCAAAAGACTTCATTGACTCACTCTGGAAGCTCCACTAGTTGTTCCCTGCACTTAAAAATAATAATATAACAATAAATAATAAAAATAGGACTCATCCTAGGTGTTTGGCCATAATCAGTTTCCATTATTCTTTTATTCATTGTTGAGTTACTGTTTCTTGGTTATTTCTAACAGTTTGATCAATAAATGTATCACTGCAAACGGCAGTGCAAATGCAATGCGTTGGTATGCGGCGATTAAAATATACATACGTACACTCTGAACATTACTAATATTAATTAGCCAAAAAATGGGCGCCTGGTTAGCTCAGTCGGTAGCTGGTGACCCACATGCAGCGGCCCGGGTTCAAGTCATCCCCTCTCTCTCTCAGGTTCATCGTATATTTTAAGTTAAAAACATAGGAACTGAGTCAAATGAACTATTTCAATATTTACAAGCTCAAACTAACTATTTACATGTAACATAGGAACACACTAATCCAGAGAGAAAGAGTGCAAGTCAAATGCACCCAACACGCCACGCCTACTGACTGCGTGAGGACTGCACAGGAATAATTTAAAATATAATATATTTCTCTCCGTTTCCCTGGTGTATGAATAAAGATGCTAAATTTGTGACTAGTTGCTTTCTAGAAATGAAGTCACTGATAGGTAGAGCCCGACAGTAATGGCATTTTGTAACCAATACTGATTTTAGAGGGTGAATGTTTGAGCTGTAATGAAAATAGACCTTTTCTATGTGGAGTGTGCTGAGTAACTGATATGATTAACTGATTTAATTATGCTTTCTTAAACAAATAACTTTAATAAAGAATAAATAAGTGAAGTATTCCTTAACATATTAACTTATTGAACATATACACTGTCAACCACTTCTAGTTGACATTGCTGAGAGCTGCCTCTTCTCTCGTAATCTGTGCTGCTTGCCACAGTGTCTTTTTCTGAATTATATATATATATATATATATATATATATATATAACATCCTAAATCTCGAGCGCTGCTGGGTGCTCTGATTGGTAACAGCTAATGTTAAGGGATTAGGAGGGTAACCTCAGTATAATGTAATGTAAGCACATACAGTATATCTGCTTACCTGCATTAACACCACATTACACTAATAAGCCCCCCACTCCATAAATCAGAAGTACAACTCCCCTCTTGTCCTTTAATGGGACATTATGATAGAGAGCCAACTAAAAGCTACTGACCCGACCTACATGGCCTCATTTGCTCCTTCTGAAAAGACACAGTTGAGCGTTTTGTTTACCCATCAAACCCTTCAGGCTTACCCCAGGACTCAAGGCTAAGATGAGTTTCTTGTTGACTTACCTCAAATTTCACAAGGTACAAACACCACACCCATGCACACTGTCGGCAGGAACTCTCCCTACAAACCTGAGGCTTCCTAGCGAAAATCCTCTTTATTCTACTGAAGGTTCTGTACACGTCAGGAGACCGAAGACTGAGCGTTACATACAGCACCATACACACATACATACACACGCTGTGTATCTCAGCAGGGCAGGGGACAGGAGCAGAGGGCAGGTAGTGGACTTGGAACTACAGAAACTTCCAGACCCATCCTGGTGAGTATCTGGAATCATTCATAAAGCTTCCATGTTATTCCTGTTGTATTGGTGCATTGCATAGTTAGACAGAAATTTGCTAGATTTTTAATGTTTAACATGGAGAAATAATCATTCATTCACTGTTAAATAAAAGAGCAGACAGTAGCAATGGTTCCATATGGTGGGACAACATTAATACAGATGGTTGTTTTCTTTTGTACCTCAAGAACACAATTTTTAAAATACTCGTCTCAGCTTTTACTAACCATATGTCCATTTCCGATTACAGTCTATCTAATGGTACAACATCTATCTTTCCAGTGTATCAGGGAGACCACCCTCTGATCTCCCACCCTCATCAGTCCACCATGGGCCAGACCATCAGCAAACCCCCTTCTAACACCTTCCAGAACTCCAACTTTCTCTCCTCTTTTAAACGTGCCAACTCCAGCCGTCGTTCCTACCATCAGAACACCCCCCCTCGACCGAGCATCTTCTCCACACTGAGAAGGCCCACCGTCCCCAAACCTAATGATTTCATTGCTCTATTCAACGATTGCATCTCTGTCGCCTCATCCAGAACTCAAGAATACCTCCTCTTTAAAGACCCGGAGGACAAGTTCCACCCGAGCACTGAGGTGCTCACTCAGGTAGGTAACTTTATTCTTGGAAAAAAAAAATGAAGACACCACTTCACAAAAAAATGGTCTTTAAAATATCTTGTCCTCCAACAGGTCTTTTTAATGACCTACATCTCTCAGAGCGTCAACCTCAACATGACAGACAGCTTCAACTGCACAGCCATGACGCCTGAGCAGCGCATCCTCCTGGGGGCTGACTGGGTTTGGGCTGTGCTGGAGAAGCCCACCAAGAACCCTCGGATCCAGATTGCCGTGCGGGTCCTACACCTGCCCGACATGCAGGACGTCGAGGAGAACTTCCCCTCAGAGGCCTGCAGCGACTCCATCCAGATTGCCCAGAAGGAGTCCAACAACAAGACTACGTACGAGAGGATGGTCGATTTCTGCACCTCCATCGGCAAGGACTGCTACGCCCTCTTCTTGTTCTTTGGTAAGAAAAACGACAAAGAGAATATCTATGGCGTCCTCAGCAACAACTTTGAGGCAGCAATCGGGAAGTGCAACAAGATTGACAGAGCTTTAATCGAGAACTTCTTCAAAGGCTCGAGGTATCTCCATACACCTTCAGGAATGATGCAAGCTATTGTCACCAGGAGAGTGGGAGAGCCTCTCACTCTCATGATTAAATTCAGCTGAACCAAAGGGACTTGTAATATTTAATGGCCAATAACATGATACAGCCACACAGTAATAACCTTTATGTGATAGAAATGTGGGGTTTATTATTGTTATCTCTTGAGAAATTACCTTCAGACCTACTAAGTTGAAAATAGAAGGCTTTTGAGAAAAACTATCACAGTTGTTTGATGGTACATCAATATGTCAGTTTTCTGCTGTTTACTTTGAGGCCTGTTTTCTGACAGCTTAATCAACACGTCATTTAAAAACAAGACCAAACATACTGCACTTACATGCGTCTTTAAAAAGTTGCAAGGTTCCATCATACAATTTGTCCAACAGAGGAGTAACTATTAATGTTACTAATGGTTGAATCCCATTTCTATGCTTTACTTCCAGGGTCTAGCTATTGTATGACTCACTACTACAACTATTATTAGTTACACTGCTTTTTCTGCTCTGACGTGAAAAAAAGGTTATTAGATGTGATTAACAGCAAAACCTCATACCTGTCTTCAGTCTTCAGTGTTTCTTCAAAGAGAAAAGGATCATACAAACCTAAAGTAACATGTGTAAATGTTAAAAGGTTAAATGCATGAGTGCAGAACTAGAATTATATTTATTAGTTAGATATAATCCATCCTGACATTAAACAAAGCTCAAGTGAATAGTTCACTTGAAAATGAAAAATCAGTGTAGATCCGTCCCTCCAGGATTTTGCTGGCTTTTTTTTTTTATTGTTGCAGCTTAAAATGCCTGATTTAACGTCAGCTTTTCTAAAACATTGTGATGCAAGTTGCGATGTTGTTAGGCATTTTTTTGCAATGAAAGAGAGTAAGTGAAAATGAAAACTACGAAAATTAAATTATTAAAAGTCAAAGGCAACTTGTTCCAATGAAAATAAAATCATAACTGTACCATCACAACTTCCTGGAGGAACTAGAAGTTCTGAAAGATAGAAAAAGAGTGAAGTAGGGCAACTACCTCCAATAAACCAAAGTAAACTGGAACATGTTCTTTAAAGACAGACAACGATGACCAGAAAATCACATGACATACTTGCAACAGGATCCATGTTTTTGTAACCAAATAGCTGCTGTGTTTATGTAAATTTGAGTTGAGTTTAGGCTTTCTTTACAGTGTTGTTTTGTATATTACCAACTATTTTACTGGATATAGGCAGAATATTGGTACTTTTACCTGAAACTACTCTTCTTGAGGGGAATTCTCATTTCCTTTAAATTTGTATCACAAATTGCAATGGGTTAAATGGAAGAATGAGTATGCAACATGTTTAGATTTGGCATGCTAATTATTCTCAAATTATATTAATAACATGGACAGGAAACATTTACTGTGATATTGTTTGATGTCACTATATCAGCATACAGTAGGGTAAAAACAAAGTGAAATATTTGTTTTAATTTTATCAAATATTATTGTAAAATGACTTTAGATCTTTAACTAATTATTGTATATTGTAAATTGTCACATATTTAATTTAAATACTAACATATCTTCTCAACATATCTAACTCAATTGCTTTGATCCTCATTATTGTTGCTTTATGCATTGTTTTGCTTTTTATAAAAGGATTTGCAAGAAGATAATGTTTTTCCACTTGTGTACAACAATATCAAAAAGCTTTCTAAGAGGATTTGTGGGTAAAATGTACTCCTGAGTGCTGATGTCCTGATCAGATCTCACTTCAGCTAGACCAAAAGCTTCTAAGAGGGCTGTAAAAAATAAAACACACATTGGAGAGAAATAGCAGGTTTACCTGGAAAGACCAGTGTGTTAAGGTAACATTACGAGACAGAGCAGGAGCTGCGGGGATCAAACCGACACCTTCCAATTAGTGGACAACCACTATGCCTCTGAGCCACAGCCGCCCACATTCCAATTAAACAAAGGCCAGTTTGTCAAAATACAAATTCAGCAGCAAACTACAGAAATCATGTCAGAGTGGAGAGGATGGTCCAGGCAGCACACCCCAACCATTACTTTACCATTAATAAATACATTATTGTCTCATCATTTTAGCCCTGCTAGCAGCTCAGAGGATTGCAATCCCATCATCCTCAGCTATACTTTATGTTTTGTGCTAATTACCAAATGTTAGCACGCTAACACAATAAACTGAGATGGTGAAAATGGTATGTTAACTTGACCTGCAAAAACACAAGCATGTTAACATTGTATGTCATCAATGCAAGCATGTTAGCATGCTTACATTAACATTGATCTCAATGCACAGCTTCACAGAGCCACGAGCAGGGCTGTAGACTTAGTCTACTGCTTTAAAATACAATTTTACTGTAAGTAAAAGCTTTGGTAATGGAACAGAGTTGACCACACAGTACCAACTGTATGTTCAGTATAAGCCTATTCAAAATTTGACCCTTTGTTCAACCGTGGAAAAAATATAATATCCAAACAGTAATACCCTGTCCTACCTGTCCTACCTGTCTGTAGGCGCAGCGGACCGCTGTAAAGCTCACTGGCCACACATGCTTACGACAGTCACAGCTCAATGTATGTAACACTTGGGCTTTACATGGGAGGGGTTGTGTTTGGATAGAACTGTCAAAAATAGGATTTATTTAAGATGTGTTTATTTTAAAATAATACTGTAAAAATATACAATGAAAAGGCACGTTTACAAAATGGTAATTATATACTTAGTTTCTTGCATTACTAACCAGAACTTTACAAAGGTACAAAAAACAACACATATTAAAAACTAAGAGTGGCGTAATTTTGAGGGCAATGTTCTGCAGCTTCATCTTGAAATGGTTGAGGCTGAGTTTTTATTGTAAATCATTTCTCAAACTTTCTTTATTGTTCACAATAAAAGCAACAATTAGAACTGTAATGCTTGATTGTAAACTGTTCAATCCATATTTCCTTGTGAGAATCAGGAACATTCAATTATTTTCACACTTTGTATGACAGGAATGTTTCAGAGAAAAAAAAAAAAAAAGACTTGTTCCATCATAGTTCATCCTTCATGTTGGTTTTGTCTTTGTGACTTTCACGCTCACAACTACACAAAGCGGTCTGGTCGTCCGCCTGAGGCACCAGCTCCATGTCTGCATGCCGTGTTGGCTGTCCTATCTGCCGCTCTGAGTACATGTGCAGCACTTGGTAGTAGTAACAGTACAGCCTGCTGGGCTGCAGCAGCTCTCTGGCCGCTGTCTGACCTGCTCTGGCGATCTCTTGTGCTTCAGTGTCGTTCTCTTTGGCCCATTTGATTTTCTCCAAAAGGTCTGACAGGTTTCTCTTTACGGGAACGTAGTGAGTGCCTGCTTTAAGATGGCTGTAGAAGAATTCATAATACTGCGAGTCCTGCTTCAGAACCAGACTGTTCCCGAGCATCAGGTAAGGAAAGCGATACGCTGCCACTGTTCCATCCACGTTCACCTGGTACTTGTACTAAAACGAGAAATAAAACCATTTTTAATATCAAGTGTTTATTAAAATGTGTGTACTATTTATTTTATTGTTTTTATCATGGTAAGATTATTTGTGACCATAACTGGGAAATCACATCAAAAACATAGAAAAGAAGGAAAAAACACCTGCCTAACAAGTTACAGGATAAACATGAATTATTCAACACTGATTGATTCATTCATTTTTCCTCACCTTGAAGAAGTCAAAGAATCCAACAAGCGGTGCTTTGCCCACATGTTTCTCCCTGTCTCTGAAAAAGAACCATCCTGTGATGCCTGCATCCAGCAGCTCAGGGTTTTCCTTGGACAGAGAGACCAGGTGAAGGCGCTCCTCTCGACTGTCCCGGCCACGGAAAAACGCTCGATCTGTTTTGTTAATCCAAGGAGGCCCTGGAAGAAAGTTGTCCAAATGTTACCCAGAGAGGCAGAAAACATAAAGATATGAGGTCCAAAGAGCTTCAATTGACTGAATTTCAAAGCATCAACTTTAATAAATAGAGAGATAGAATAGAGAATATTACACTAGCACTGGTGGTGCATTTTAAGGACAATAACTCTAAGTGAATAACAGGTTTTCATTCTAGATAAATGAAACAACTCCTATGTACTTCCATAAAAGTTATTTATTATTTGCCAGGGTTTAACGTGTACTATAAGGACACATTAAGCCTGGGGTAAGGGTGGCTACATCTCCTGAATCATTAGTTATATTCAGTTTTTTTCTCACACTAGTCTGATTAAATGGAAAAATCAGTCAGAGGCTACATACACAAGTGTACACAAATGTGTTTACAATTTTTAAAAATAACAGAGAGCATATGATTGAAATCTCATGAATCCTGGTCAAGAAAGAATGAAAAAAAAAACGGGATAAAAGGCACACTTTAAGAAACTTTTAATAAAGTGTACTTAACCATTTCAGTCCTAAAACGTCCATAATTTTATCAAGGTGTGTACATACCTTAGGTACAGCGTCCTGAGACCGAGAGACTGTAGTTTGACATGTTGGGTGAAAGTAGATTTGAGAAAACACATGATGGAAACTGCTCAAACGTGCCAGTAGATGTATCTATGAATTGTTAGGAATGGCCAGTAGTTTCTCAAATAGAACAGTGGCTGTGGTAAATTTTAAGACTCCACTGTAATATCTGCAAGAGCTTCCCGCTGCAAATTTTTTTCTTCCTTTAAATGTGAAACAGGACGTGCTCTAAAATAAAAATAAAGAAACTCGGGCTTAGTTAAACCTGATGCCCTGCAACCATTTCGATAGGCAAGTTTTGGCAGTCTTGGGTGTGGAGAAGTACATCACTTTTAATTTACTGGTTCTAAAAACTACTTTCAACTTACAGCTTTTGGCTAAGTGAAATTCGCAGATTACTAAAAACTTCTAATATTGTAAACTTCTAAAATTCAAACAATTATCCACTATTGTTTATGTAAAACTGAGAGGGCCCAGGACTGAACCCTGTAGCACCCCCTGGCGGACAGTTTAAATGTGAGAGGGAAGTAAATTCAGTTTGTGTGTGGTGCAGATTGCACCCAATCTCCTTTGTTCATATGGTTTGACACTGTCCTTATTCAATTTTAGAGCCCTGAAATTCAGTCTGACTTCAAAGCAGTATATACAACTGAATCCTGTGATTGAATAGTCACCTAACTGCAGCCAAATAAACAGTTTTTGCACCACTACAGGTTTGCACCACTACTACCATGTAAATTAATGTTATGGAACTGGAAAAGCCCACAACCTGCTTCTCACACTCAGTGGTTAAGGGAAGCTATGCAGCACTTTACATTAGATAATCTCAACTATGAGCTTTGAGATAAAACATAGCAGATCTTTCTGAATTATTTTCTTTCTGAATAACACCAGGCTCTTAACTCTGTCCATTTAAGTAGATGCTGCACTTTGAATTTTTTATCAACTATCTATTACTACATTCTCCCACAACTCTCCGTCTGTGTATTCTTCTGGGTTTTTTTTTCAATACTGCTATGATCCAAACCAATAGTTTTAAAACAGTGTGAGAGCCTGAACACCTGATCACCTGTTAAGTGATATTTCTGGCTGCTGCAGGTTGATGCATTTTTTCTGGCCTCCCCTGGAGCCCCCCACCACTACTTCAATTCAGTCTTATTTTTTTCTTAAACTATTGTGGTCCACATTATTAAAATATTTCAATGAATCGTTACTCGTCAAGAGCCTGATATTAAAACTAATGTCAATGAGCTTCACTTCTCAACTTGGTCTCTATACAAGGGTGCTATACAAATAAAACTGAATTGAATTGAACTACAGCAGCCCTCATAGTGACTCAGGTGTGTGTGTGTGTGTGTGTGTGTGTTACCTGTGTTTCCCTGGACAGACAGAAGGTCATTGGTGACACCTCTCATGGTCTCCAGGGTCGAGTGTGTGACCTCGTAAGTGGGGAGGACAATGTCCCGTGTGTCTGTAGAGCCACACCACGACAGGACTGGAACAGCATCTGTTCTCCTCGTCTCTAAAGGCCAGTCGCCAACGTTGATGAAAAACTCCACATCAGGCGCCCTCACCTTCAACAGCAGATTAAAGATCCCAGGAGATTGAAAGCAGAAAATTACATGATGCCAAGAGCAGTCTCTTGGCAGTAATATTAAGAAACAACATGCATATGATCATTTAACATCCCCACAACATCTAGAATACCTTTCTTGTTAGAGAGAGCAGAATTTCATCAGAGAACATCTTGAAGTCGGTGTATTTTCCCAGAGTGCGGCGGTACAGCTGGTTGTTGATGATAGCGTAGTGAATGAGACCTCCTCTGTTGGCAAATCTGCGAGGCACTTCCCGTCTGAGACGCTCCAGGTCGATTGTAGGAAAAGATTTAAAGTCTGCCAGAATCTGAGGCTCCTCAGCGGGACACTGCATGGTACTCTGCCAGACGGAAGCATCGAGTTCTGGACAGTCACAGTACTCATGATAGACTGGACCTGAGTGTCAAAAATAATGCTCAGGCTTAGATGACGGAGCCAGAGCACGACAAAGCAAGGCGGCATTTGTTCCTGCATCACAGAATCAATTATGCATTTTATTTTTACGTTTAAAGGAGCTGGTGTTAATATTTTGTCATATATCAAAGTGTGGTGATGTGTAACATTTCTGAGACAGGTCGGACGCATTTTGCACATTTTCTGTTGCGCTTCGTTGAGGGGAGATTGTTATGTGAAGTGAATCTCTAAGTGGCCTCATCTAATAATGATGAGAATGGTGAAATAACACAATATTCACTGAATCTGCATAAGAATGACCGTGAGAGGCTCGATGAGGCTTGGTTTTAAGACCAGCACTCACTGTACATAGAGCAGCGTGGGTGTTGTTTTGCAACAAAGCTCTTTACTGTGTGATGCACGTCTGTCTGGTCTGGAAGAGGGATCCTTCCTCTGTGGCCACTCCTTCCTTTTTTTTTTCCTGTTCAAGAGCTTTTTGGGGATTTTTTCCCATCTGTATTGAGGGTCAAGGGGACAAAGGGTGTTGTGTGCTGTACAGATTAGTAAGTGCCTGTGTTTATTAATGCATAAGACAACACAAACCTTGGATTGTGTAGGGTGACTTGGCAACAGCAGCATCTTGGTGGAGGACTTCAACCTTCAGGCCCTTCAGCACGGTCCCATAGAGCCGGTACCTCACCAGGAAGGACCCGTCTTGTCTGTCCAGGGGTGGAGGGACGTGGATACGAATGTGCTCCATCTTGTCCAGCGGACCTATCTTCACTTTAAATGTGTCTTTACCTAAAACAGCACACGTAAAGAACATTTCAGTGACTTAATTTCATAAAAACCAGCACACTAAAGAACATTTCAGTGACTTAATTTTCATAAATACAGCAGCACGTCAACAGAACATTTCAGTGACTTAATTTCATCTTGCTGCAGGGCTTAATGAATGGCAAAGCCCTCCATTACACTGTTACACTTGCCCCTGCCCAGCCCTGATACACGACCCTCTATTGTTAGCTGACCAAAACCTTTTTCAGGGTTAGAGGAAGATTAAAATGAGAACTGACGTTAAATCTCATTTGAAGGCTAAGTGAGACATTAGTTTTGATTATTAAACTATTATACTATTCAATATTCACGTCTCGTCAACAATGCCACGAACAACCCGCTGTTGAATGTAGCTAGCTAACGTTGTGTCTGTTGATGGCATACAAAAGATATGTTGCGGTTAGCTTAAAAATGATGCAGGAAATTAGCTAGCAGCAACCGCTGTGTTTAACATGAAGACACTTTGAGCACATGAAGTTACTGTGTTTGAGGTCCGTTTACCTGGAGATAAAGTCAGGTTTTCTCCGTTTGAATTGACCGCCTGAATAATGAAGTAGCGGACTGGTAAAACTATGTCGGGGTTCAGCCCTGGACCCCAGATGAGACATCTCTCTGGACTGATTCCTTCACAGTCACAAACCGTGAAGTTTATGCTGATAAATACCACTAAAACCACAAACTTACTGATTAAACCATTCTGTAAAGGCTTAACTAAGTCTACGCCACGCTCACACACCATATTCCTCCAACTGATAGCTGCTAGACGTCTGAAGTAATTAAATATTGACTGTAAAGTTTTGATAGAAACTCCTATTCCGACATGTTGGTGAAGAGAAACACGCCCATTATCCGGTGATGCCTTCACGGGGTGTCGGAAAGATTGCGACGCTCCACCAAAAACCTAAAACTGTACAGTACATAGACAACAGTATAATATATAATAATATATAATAACTGTATTTATGACTGTGCTTCAGTAGGCCTTACTGATAAAACCGTATCAACCACTCAGGTCCACTTACTCATTTGTTCTGGAGCTTTCAACCATACCTGACAAAATACTACAGATAACAGCATCATTTGTAAAAGATGAAAAGAGCTACTAGAGCACCTTAAAACCAAAGTAGTGGGTTTATCCTTTGGTGTTATTTGTTCTTAACTTTTTACTCTTGGGCTGCTATCTTAGTCTATTGCAGTAGTTTGTTGGGAAATTGTCTCGGATTTTTAAGATTTTAGATTAAATAACCTCGCAAGAGGGTGGCATTGGTGACTTTAAGGATAGTAGAAATATATACTGATTTAAAGGTACAGTGTGTAACATTTGTAAGGCTCTATTGGCAGGAATGGGATATAGTATTCATAAGTATGTATTCATTAATGTTTAATCACCTGAAAATAAGAATCATTTTTGTTTGTTTAGAAAAGCATTTTTGTTACTTTAGATTGAGCCGTTTTTAATCTAAAGACATTTCTTTGTTAAATTTGACATAAAACCAAGGTGGCAGCTGGGGTGGCAAGGCATTTTTGCCACTCTTCTAGATACAGCCCTGCTTACCATACAGTAAAATAAACAATATGATTCACATTAAAAGTGGAATACTTGTATATACTATTAAGTTCACATTAGGCACACACAAAAGCTTATTGAATAGCCAGAACATTTGGTAAAATTACAGAAAATCAGTAAAAACTGTAGAACAATAGCGCTTTGATATTAAAATCAACACTGTTGATTTACATCTCTTTTTTTCCGCAAAATTGTACATTTTGGCCTAAAAAAATCATTTTAAAAGTAATAAAGTAATTAAAAGGAAGTCTAATGACATAGGCTACTGTATATAAAAGTACCCCTGAGTCTCTCTACATTTCTTGACATCAAAAATCACACACACACACACACGTTTGGATTTTGGTTTGTGATTTATATTAGAACACCCACAGCGTTCATACAGTGATTGGTGGTTTTGTGATTGAATGATAACAGGGAATACACCAGTTTTGTAGTCAATCAGAACACTAGTATGCAAAAATGTTTTCTGTTTTGTGTCCCAGCTTGTCCAAATTGGGCAGACAAGCGTACTGGATCATCGGTGGAGGACCGCACAGGACAGCAAGGACATCACTGGACGGAGCAGGGAGGTGTTCCTTGATCATGTCATAGGTCACAAACCCTGCACTATAGCGCCAATCTTCAGGACAACACAAGAGAGCGAAAGAAAGATCAACCTTCAATTACAGTGAAACAGATTTTGAACACTCAATTTCTTTAAAGCAGTGGAAATTCAGATGTCTTTTTGCCATATTTACAGCCAGAAATGTGAAAGCACTTTCTTCCTTCCATCCTGCCTCTGTGCTGGCATAAAGTGGCAGGATTTACCAAACAACATCAGTGGGAAACATCTCTAAACACTACAAATCCAACACTTCCTGTTTATATCATTTTTAATCTATCTTTCTTCCCTTGTGCCTCAGCAGAGGGATGCCCAATGGTGAAGGGTGGGTAGAACCTAAAGTTCAACATGTGCTTTCATCCACAGACAGGCAACCAAATAATGACACTGCTAACGAAAGAGCAAGTACACCTCTTCTAATGAATAATGATCAAGGACTGATGTGTTTCTATTCTGTGTGGAACTAATGACAGACAAGACAGAATGCGAGTGGCGTTCGAGGCCTGGATTATGTAACAATATTATGCTCATTAATTTGTGCTCGCTTTAGGGATCATGCAAAGGAAGACATGAGCGTTTTGCTAAGATACTGTAACACCTTGTTGGTACTATCTCCCTCCTCGGCCTGCAGGGATTTCCTTCAGCTGAGGAGTCTTTGTTTGGTCTCCCACTCTGAATATTCAGCAGTGAAACCAAAGGAGCGGGCTTTAAGACTGATTTATTCATATAGCCTGGCACTCTACTGTATATCCTTTATGGTAACAGTATAAAATTAGTGGAAAATGTCTCCACCAGATCCCACATGAGGAGAAGTAAGCATAAGTAGGTATTTACGATGTGTAATGTTTTGCTCTCTTTACATTTGAAATGGTTTTTAAGAACAAATACAAAGATAGAAATGTAGATATACCTTTTCTATGTGATATTTTGTCTTCTGTCATAGTGTTGTGTGGTATGTAGCAAATAAAGTTTATTATCCAGTATCATTTATATTTTAATAAACTGCTGAAAAATGTGTAATGTATAAGGCTTTTATCTTCCCAAGTACATTTTCAGTGTAATCAAGTTTGCCCACATGGAATGTTTTACTCAATGAAGATGCAGAACCTTTATTTATGGATATATCAGTGCTACTTGGATGGTATTCAAATTAGGGCTGTGAATTGGCAAGAATCTGGCAATACAATATGTTCGCAATACATGGTTTACAATTGAATTTACTGTGATACTGTAAGCCAGCCAATATATTGCAATTTAAAAATCTAGTTCTCTTTTTTTTAAGTTCATATTTCAGGTATCATTTTATGTATGCTAGTGTCAAAATACTGACACTGACAAGAACATCTGCAAACAAACCCTGTTTTTCCTTCTTTTTTTAAATATATTTATAATCTGTCCTGTGAATGTAAGACCAGAAGTCCATTTAAAGTTACATCAACTTTTCTTTTTCTTTGTTGCCACTTGGGGGCCACAAATTGATAGGGATAACATAGAGTCACATAACTCCAATCAACAAGAAAAATATCTGCCTCTTTAAAGCCTTTAATGCTGCACTAAGAGTTTGTTGCTAACTTTGCCTGCCATTTGGTGCTGGGCAGGCAGCAGGCAGTCGGTTGACTTTTGCCTGCTGTAGCTGGGAATGAGATTGATGACAGCAGTGAGACTGATCAGAAACAGTAAAGTTTTAGGGGGCCATAAAACCAAAAAGATTAACTGAAACATGCTAAAAAGCTCTGCAGAGCTGAGAAGAACTGCTCATTGAGTTCATCGATTGTTAATCTCAAAATATTGATTTGTGCAGCTTTAAAGGTCCAGTGTGTAACATTTAGGATCTATCACCAGATATGGAATATAATATTCATAAGGATGTTTTCACTAGTGTATATAAACCTGAATATAAGAATCCTTGTGTTTTCATTACCTGAGAATGAATTTTTATATACAGGTCGCCTTCCATGGAGTCTGCCATGTTGAACCGTCATGTTTCTACACTAGCCCAGAACGGACAAACCAAACACTGTTGCCTAGTTTCTCCTTCACGCCTGGAAAGGCAGGGTGAAGCGATCTGCAATCTGCACCTACACTGCTAGATGCCACTAAATCCTACACACTGAACCTTTAAAATTGAGAGGTTATGCATTGTACTTAACATGGTACTGTCTGTGTCAGGTAATGTATTGTATTGTTTTTCAAAATAAAGACAACATTACCCATGCATTGGTGACAGGTAATCTTCAGTCATTTTTCTTCATACATTTTTGACTTATCTGTAAGAGCACCATTGGAATCTGCTGCCTTACCCTGCGAAGGTTTGTCCAGTGTGAACCAAAGTTGAACTTTGTCAGGATGGTTCTTCTTCACCTCCTCCAGCTCCTCCCTCAGTAGGATATCTTTCTCAGTCTGATAGGGAGCGAAGTGAAAGGGATTAAGCTTCTCCAGAGTGTTTTCCATTTATCTACAGTGCAGTAATACTCTTTAACAATGGGACACAGGGACAATACACTGCACAGAGCTGACCTGGTTGGCGAATATGAGAGAGCACTTGGTCTTGTCAGTGGGGTCTGCTGTGATACTGCGGATTAACTGCAGCATAGGAGTGATACCTGAGATGGTAAAAGACATTGAAGTTAGCCTCAGAGGATGGTTCATGTCTAACTGAGGGCATCATTAGCTACAGTGTTTCATGATATTGTCAACAAAGAAAAAGAAAATATCATTAAGGGGTTCTGAAAGTTAAACTAAATGACAACTTTAGAGTACATTAGAGTGATTGTAAATAGTGTAAATGAACCTGTTCCACCGGCGATCATTGCAACGTGCTTAAACTTCCGAACTTTCGGCTCTGACTTCTTGTCTGGTCGGATGGAAAACAGACCTGATGAGGAGAGAGTAAGTCTCAGTGTTAGTGTGTGTTTGGTCTTATTTTGTACCACAGTGGCATCTGCTGGTGACAGCAGCTTTATTTCTTTTCTTTCCACACCATTTCCCTTATACACCAGCAGTCCATTGGGTCCTCTGAAGTCAATGGCGTCTCCAATAGCCATGTTGTCCAGGTACTGAGACATCTTCCCTCCCTCTGGGAAGGAGGGGTGGGAGTTCTTGTAGTACACCTGGAGAAGTTACAAAAGGACACAGCAATTTTTATTTATTATTTAATCTTTTATTGAAAAATGTCCTTTACTATGTAAAGCTAATGTCCTTTACTATGTTAAGCTAGTCGCTAACTTTCTGTCTGCTGTTTGGTGCTGGGCAGGTAGGGTACAGTGTACACTCGGACAGGTATTTATACTCTTGTAGCATTGTTTTTTTTATCTCTTTAGTTCGACAGGAATTTTTTCAATGGACTAGAAAAGATCTGCTAAGCATCTGGTCCACAATCCGTTCATGAATGACTTATTACTGCAGACTTGAATACAAAGCGAGAAAGTCATGACGTCTTATTGAGGACTTACTAACTACCTGCCATCCAATATGTGATATAATGGCTTATAACTGATGTATAAAGTATCAGTAAATGATATTTTTATTTGTAAAGTCAATAATAAAGAGCCCTAACAGCCCAAATAACCCACAGAAAAAGTTCTGCAGTTAACCCATGGGCCGACCTCTGTTGCTACCTTCATGTCGTTTTGTGCCCTTAGGTCAGTTATGTTCATTACCTTAACCACAAGGTCGACATATCCCTGGTCCTCATCACTGGAGACTGGAGTGTAGGCTCTGACCACCAGACTCCCGTTCACCTTGACTGACAAGTACACGTGCTGACCTGGTCCAGAGGACAGAGGGGAGGACAGGCAGGGAGGATGGGTGAGGTGGTGGATTTGAGGGAATGCGGGAAAATGTGGAAACATGGGAGAAGCATGAGGAGTGATGGAAACAAGCTGTATCTAACCCATTTAAAACAACCTTTCTCGTTCTCGTGCTTACACTACCGATGTATTGTAATTTGGGAATCTAATGAATCTCTTATACACCAGCACATGTGTATCCTTTGATGTCTTGGAGTATTACAATGTATGCATTATCATGAGTAATATCTTCTTGTTTTCTCATTTCAAGACACTTAAGCCGGGCCAATGCTCAGATATGTGTGCCTAAATGCTTACTTCCTAATCTTTATCTTAAAACATGATTGAAAACCGTTCAATCTAGCTGTTGTGTATCTGAGAAGAGAAGAGAGCTGTTTCAGTACCTATTGGCAGTCCAAGGATATGAGTTGAAGATGGAAGCCCAAACCGAAATTTCTTTGTGTCATGGCTGATTTCCTGTACAATGACACACACAGGTTAGAAAAAAATACAAAAACAAAGAAATAGTACATACAATGTCATAGCTATTAGATTTCTTTCAAATCTCATTTATTCAATGCTGTGAGAACCACCATAGAAATCGCAGACGGATATCTCAAACACTTCCACTGTATGGTACTATGGTAAACCAACCCTTTCAACTGGATGAGCTTCATAAAATTGGTGTGCACACTTGTTTAAGACAGTGGTTCCCAACCTTTTCTTTAAGACGTACCCCCACAGCCCTATGAGAGGAACTCAGTTTACTGCTGTCAGTGTTGAGGTTTAGGATGGTTTGGTCAAGTTTGCATTCGTCACTAGTGGCATAAGCTAACTAGCTAACTAACAACTGTTTATCCATTACTTTTAGCTAACTATTTAAACTGTTTGCCTTTGGATAATCGTCTCAGCTGTTTACTTTGGCTAACTGTTTCAAATGTTTACTTTTAGCTTACTGTCTCAATTGTTTGCTTTTGGCTAACTATTTGAACTGTGCATTCATTATTTTTAGCTTCTTATACCCATTTATATATTGCTGTTAGCTGAATTATTTAGCTGTTTATTTGCTTGGTAGCAGTAACTTCCTTCACACACAGAACATCTTACAGCTGCCTCAACGTATGGATGAATATTTTCTAATCAAATTCTTATTTCAGTTTTTTTCCCTTGTAACAGTAGAAGCACCCTGTGGGGTAAAGCAGGCTACCCCTGGTTTAAGACATTAAACTAAAACTGTGGTTGGCCACATACATTCACCTGAAATGTTTCAATATAGGGTGAAACACAAACTGGAATATAACTGAGTGCACATCTCCTTTTCTGCAGCCAGTTAGATGCTACATTATTCCCTCACAGTATTAAATACTTAACAAAGTAGTTGAATATTAAGTTGCTGTGTAACCAGGTTTGAATGTGTGAAAGTACTGATTTTTAATGTGTGTGTGTGTGTGTGCAGTATACCTGTTTGTCTATAAGGGGAAGGGGATATTTGACCGTAGGATCCTGCAGAGTGACAGGCAGCTTCTTCTTCTTCCCTCCTGCAGAGCCTCGCAGGAGAAAGTACAGCACTGTCACTACCACCACAGAAACAGCTGCCACCACCGAGATCATCTGCAACACAAAGATCACATACAGTGTGGAGACTCACATTGCACAACAATAACAGTTAAATGTTCTAATTTTGTACAAAATGCATTATCAATAAGTTACACTACAGTACAGTTAAACAACATAAAAACAATGACAGAGGAATGTTGAGCAGATAAATAAAATCTCACAATCTGGGTAATATTGAGCAGTTCTTCAATGAATATAACCACTTTCAGACAAGATCAAGTGGAATAATAAATAGGGAAATGAAGTGAAAGTTAATTCTCACCAAGCTTTGATCCATAGTTTTAACATGTAACAAATAACTTCCTCACACAGTCTGGAGACCAGAGTCCACACACAGTCCAAGCAATGCCTTCACAATACTCTCTCTCTCTCCTCTCTCTCTCTCTCTCTCTCTCTCTCCCCCACATGCACAAAGTGTAGGGCCTCTTAAGGGGGTGTGTCTTCCCACAGGGGGAAAGGTGACACAAGGTCCAAAGCACCAATAGGAAGACAGATCTCATCATGACACTACATAGTACAGAGGTGGTGTTCAGGCAGTGAGGAGCAGAGCCGTGAGATCACACCACTGAGAGAGGGGAGGAGAGAGAGACACCAGGATTACATAACAAGCACTGAGCAGAAGTATTAGTTTTCTTTATAGAGAAGTACTCACATTTTCAAAGCTGATAATCCTGGTTGTATGAGCATACTGCACAGCCCATTTCATTTTTGAATCTTGATTTTTATTGCATCTTAATATAATACATGATAGGAAAGTATGTCCTCAAGTTTACTGACAACTTTAACACTGAGTTCAAAACAAGTGGCGTAAAAATCATTAAAAGTTTCTTTTCTACCAGTGGAATCACCAAGCAGCAAAAGCAAAGATCATATAGACTTTATCTACAATGGTTTATAATAGATAAACTACAAAGTTCACTACATAAATTACCTACAAACATAAAAAACACAAGACACCTCTCATAATGCAACAGTGGCAACACTTTAGTCCCACTATTGAGCATTTATAAGCAGTACAAACATTTAGTAAATGCTTTATAACACACCATAATGTGGTTGGAAATATACAGAAATGTTTAAGTGTGTAAGGTATTTGACAGCAATTATAACTTCTCCTGAGAGAGAGAGATATTTTATATTAAGTGTGTCATTCATCATGTTTATACACCAACCTCCACCTCTGGATGCCCACAGGAGGAGCTACAGTTGTTGACAAATACATTAATAAACACATATATCTGCATACAAGTGCATAATACTGTGTTAGATATGCTTTTAGAAATGCTAAATTGTGGGACTTAAAATAATGTTATTATTTATTTATTTATTATTTCCAAATAAAATGTATAATATACATAATAGCATGTTTCTAAAGTGTTTTGGGATGCAGATGTAAACATTTAGGAGGAAGATAAACAAAACAAGAGTCACAGTCAGCCATTAAAATGAAAATCAGGACTCAATAAAGGGGAATCATACCACTCTGTCAACAAGTAGATTTATTTCAAGCTGTTTTTTATTGTTTGATTAAATTGAATTCATTAAACTGAATCTATGACCAAAGCACTTAAAGAAATGTCCAAAGTGTTATATATTACAGGCTTGGAAATGTGTCCCCACTCCCTGAGGATTCTCCGCTGTAGTCATGACCTGAGCCCATGTCCACATGCAGTCTGGGATCCTCTGAGCTTTTATGGTCCACATCACCTTGTTGGGTCAGGGCTCTGCTGCTGGACTGCTGCACAACTGGGTCTGCTACATCCAAGTCCACTAAAAGCAGAATTATGTAGAGTTACAAAAGGACAGGATAAAGCGTGACAAAAGCATAAAGCGAGGGCATACTGTACATTATCTCTCTCATAACACGTAAGTTATTTTGCACTATAAATGATCTTTATATCATATTTTGTAAAAACATTGTAGTATTTTTAAAGTGGTGTCCATCTTTTCTCTGAACTAAGAAGCACGATTCATTGTTAGTTAATGATTTCCTTCATGTCCTCAAGTCACTTTCAGTTCATATTTGCAGGCAAGACTGTTATGATTAAGAACAAGATTGCTAATTGCCTGTACTATCTACATTTCCTGCAGTATAGCAATTCATCCAGTTGAGCTCATTTTGTGATACATCTATTACTATAAGGGAGAGGAAAGAACTTTACTTTTTTCAAGAAAACAACCAACAAGTTCATCAGTACCACTCTCTTCTCCTACAGCTACTATAAAAGTGCTCTTGAGCAAGGCACTGATCCCTAGCTGCTGCAGTGGAGCTGCTGGGCGGTCAGTAGCTGCCGGCTGTAGTCACGCTGCAGCTCAGCTTCCAGTGGGAACATGGTGCCTGTATGAAGGTTGTTGCTTTTTACTCAGACTCTCCTGTAGAAATCAAAGTTGAAAAACTAGGCAGAGAAAGCAGGCCTATTTTGTAGCAGATATTATGACTTGTAAAATGAGTGTTAACACAGTCCAAATTAATAACATTAACAATGGCTGCATCCCATTTCATGTGCCATCTCCAGGACACTTTTCATAGCAGACATTTGGACTTGTGAATGCAGGAAAAGCACAGATGTAGATAATAACATTAACAATTATGTGTGCCAGTAAACAACATCATTGAGTGAGCATGCACAATAACAGAGTTTAACTAAATGGAATGCAGCCATCATTAATATTATAATTTCACCCATTATTTTCCTGCAAACTGTCTTCTTACTTAAGTACTTAAACTAATCTCTTCCACCCCTGGTCCTGTGTGCTGCTACCAAAGTAAACGCTACAAAATTAAAGGCCCAGTGTGTAGGATTTAGTGGCATCTAACAGTGAAGTTGAGGATTGCAACCAACTAAAAACCTGCTTGTTTTAGTATTTGATGACCTGGTAAGTATGGAGAAACTATGGTGGCTGTGAAACTTTCTGCCAATAGATCCTTCTAAATGTTACACACTAGTACGACAAAAAACACATTATTAATCACCAGCTGTTCACAAATTAAATTAAATTCAGATTAAAAACTATTTATTAATGTGACTTTGAATTGTCCCAACACTTGTTTCACTTCAATCCCTAACAACTGCCACTAGAGGGAGCCCTGTACCTACAAACAGCAGTTCCCTTTTATGCGGTTGTACTGACATCAACTTTAAGAGTTGTTATGAGAGATGGAAGGTCACTTCTTCTGGCATATGAAATTAATGTTTATACCACAAACAACCTAAAAGCCCCCTTCTTGTTGGTGTTGTGGATGTTTGGAGGACTAATGTGTCCTCTGCAAGCACAACTGACTCCTGACATAGCGGCAAATTCCAAGACAATAATGTACAATATATTAAAAACTACAAGCATGTAATGAATTACTTCTTCTTTCATAATTAAGTACAAGGCATGCTTATCACATTCATATATAATGAAGGGCAGTGGCTCCCAAACTGGGAGTTGGGACCTCTTTAAGATTTAAGATTCAATGATTGATAAAATAGGAAAGCACATTTGTTAATTATTCTGTAATTATTTCTCTTCAGATGTCTAAAAAGCATTTGACTAAAACAATAGAATGACTAATCACCCTTTGGTTGACCTTTGGTTGACTTCATCTACAGTAACTTGAGAAATTAATTATTTGTCAGTGAAGCTGAATCCTCTAGAGTTGAATAGTGAGTGAAACAATGCCTTGTTTGAGGGAAATACATAAACTGTGTGGGCACAACACTGGGCATGTTGCTGTCTCTGCCTAATGGATGTCCAGTGTGTGCTGTGTTCACTGGCACTCTGATAACAACTAACTATTGAGTTTCTTTGACCAGGGGCAGCATTGTTATTATATTCTTTAGGTAGATTATAAAATTAATTTACAATGAACAAACATAAGCACTGTATGCATTGTAGATGGGTTAGGAGTGAAGTTACATCTTGTTATGCTAATCATTTTTCAAAGAAAAAATCTCAAATAGATCTTAAGAAAAATGTAGATTCACTTTTCATGATCTTGTGGGGCTTAATAGCCTACTCATTGAATTTTGTAATGACACAGATTCTTATGAATGAAGTTTTGTCTGTATACACTGCAGTCATATACTTTTTACACAAACCTAGCATTTCTGGCCTATACCTAGTGTTGATGCTAAACAGCAGGACCATTGGCATATAAAAGATAAACGTTGCATCTCCACTTCCCTGATGAAACTACCCCAGATATGGTCGCCCCCATCTTGCGCTGGTGATGTTATTTGGAGCCAGAATCTGCGCAGTAGCGATCGGGGTGTGCACCACAGTATCGAGGTCCCACCCATACACATGGCCGACTCATGAGCAGGCCTCAGCTGTCAGTCATGACATGAAATGTGCTTTTTACAGCAGTAAAAAACGAATTAAAACCAAACGTATCAGAAAAATGAACACTTGAACGTACATCAGCGCCATAAGCCTAACCTACGTGACTTTTTTTTTTATTCTAACGTAACATGTTTGAGTAGGACTTTTTTGCTTTTAACCCGTGCTGCCTGTTGATGGTTTGCGACAGGTATTCATCATTTTTCACTACCTTTGAGAGCTAACTCGCATTTTAACTACCACTAGCTGCTTTAATTAGAATTACATGTCTCATGTTACTAACTAAAGCTGACAGATGTTCAAAAAAGTATGGCATGTAGTAAAATGGTTTTGGAAATGTGAGGATGACTGCCACATATAAATTTACTTTATTTTATACATTATACCAACTATTGTCCAGAAGCTTAGTTTCTTGTCTAGTATTTAAAAATCAAAAATTGTACTGATACATACCTGTATACTATACTTGTTAGCTCCGCCCATTCTGAGTCAGTGCACACCTGGATGGGCGGAGCCTCTAGTTACACAGTTTGGAAAGAAGGGTTACTGGAGAAATAAAAGGTGCAAAGCAGCATCACAGTCCCGAAGGAACTGGTGAAGGTGAACCCTGGAGATATGCCTCTGAAAGACGCATACACATACACACACAAACCAGAGAGAGAGAGAGAGAG